CCCTGGCAGCAAAGAAGATCTATACAATCAGCACAGTTTCAAGGTGGACACCCAAGATTAGTGTCACCAATTTCATATCTGACCAAATGTCTCCCTTTCTGTTCCTAAGATACGGTGTTGAATAGTGGCCAGAAAAGTGCCAAACATTATGATGTCACAGCGAAGCTGATCTTTGACCCTTTGGATAGGTTATAAAATGTCATCACATCATCATTTATTCCTGTTACACATTTGTGTGAAATTTTGTTATAACTAGTGCGTGAAACAGGGAGGTCACAGTGACCTTGACCTTTGATGTCTGACCACCAAATTCTATTTAGTATATTCTTGAGTCCAATTGGACGTTTGTGCCAAATTTGAAGAAAGTCCCTCAAGGCATTCTTGAGATATCGTGTTTGTACGTACAGACAACCTGAAACCATGATGCCTCCAGCTATGGCTATCACCAGCACAAAAGCATAAATACCCCTTAAAATTATAACTTATCAACACAATCATTCTGTTTCTGGGGTGAAACACATACATAAAATATTTTGATCTGTTTGCATTTTTTTAACTTCCAAACTTGCCCTGTGCCAGAAAACACAAAAGATGTGTTCAAAGCCTTCAAAATCTAAAACTATCAATACGTACTGATAACACTGGTGTAAAATGTACTACTATAATCATCTTTGTTTTAAAATATGTATTTTTGTTAAAATGTTGGCCCTTTACAGACATGTCCCAAATTTTTATCAACTCCATTAGATTTCTACGTAAACATCATTTAATTGGGCATAAAAGAGTTAGCTATATCCTGAGGACTCCTAACTCGCTTCCTGGTTTCCAAAAACTTATGATTACTTCTTTAAATGATATAGCTGTCTGGTGTGTCTCACCCATAACAAGTCAACTCCACAGCTCTTCTAAAATAAAACTAAATAAGAATCATGGTTAAAAAAATGAGTATTTTGATTAGCATTAAGAGAACTCTTAGCAACTTTGAAAAATAAAATGGCTACTCACTATGACTACAGTGAAATTGACAAATATCATAGGTGTTTCTAGCCCATTTTGGGGGGTGCTGAAGCAGCAACCCCTAAATTGAATCCCAGCACCCCTAAAATTTGAGAGATTTTTTTAATTTTTTTTTTTTTTTTTTACTGTGTGTCCCTTTTTAACAAGCTAGAAAAGTGTGAAAACCATACAGTACTTGGTTGCAACGTAATATTTTAACAATAAAAATACAGCAGCATCCCCCTTTTGATCAATGGTTTGATCCACCCCATCCCTCCCACTTTTCCCCGACTTGGGCTCTGAGCGCTCTATCTGCACAGAGCAATGCACTGCCTTCCAGAGTGGGTGATATGCAGTAGTGGTGTAAGTAACTGGCTTAAACCAGGATATGTGGCACATTTCCTAACTTCTACCACTCAATACCAACACATTATTATCATTACCAGTCCTCATTTTTGCTGCATTTAATCGTAGGTCACTGTTTATATTGTTAGGTAGGAGTTAGCTGACGTTTTTTCTAGCTAAGAAACGTTACAGGTGGTCAGTACCACTGTCCTCTGTTTGAATTGGAATGAGAGAAGCTAGCTGTTGTGTCATGTGCATGTGTTAATATTAAAGCCAAGGTGCTACTGACTAGCTAACTGACTGGATGTTCATTAACATTATAACTCCTATTGTATGTATTTATTATTATTATTTTGTAGATTTCAAGCACTTTTCTTTTTTGAAGTGTATTTTTATTTATGTATTTGTATTATATAATACAGATAAGAAGGAAAAAGGCAGAGACAAACATTGAAAAAGTGTTGTGCATTGCATTTCAAATAAAAGTCCAAAAAATAAGTCCAAGGTCCATTTTTGGTATTTTTGGTACTCACTATAGGGGGCTGGTTTACTCCAGAAACATACATACTGTTGATGGTTTAGTCACAGATTTTCCCAAAAAGTGTTGTGCTTTTCCTTCTTTAAAATGTACAAAACAATGAAATTTATCTTGCCTGGCCGGGCAGCTCTCTGGGTGCTCTCTCAGCACCCCTAAACCTCTGATCCTAGAATCGCCCCTGATAAATATATAAGTTTTTGTCAACTCAGTAAGACGTCAACTGCATCAGATCTTATTTCTGGCAGCCGTTATGTATGCTCCTCCTGGGAGCTGGACAGTGTTTCTGGGGAGAGGGATGTCTGGGGTCTGCTTTGCCTGGCCTGCTGCCCCCGCGACCCTGCAGCCCCAAATAAGTGGATGAAAATGGATGGATTATGTATGCTATTTGAAAAAACACTGGGAGGCTGGTGCATTACATGGTTAAATAGTCAAAACTGATGTTTTAAGATTTTCCTAGCCTAATTGTAGAGTAAAAATCAAAAAGCTAAAAAAAAAAAAAAAAAAAGTTTTTCCCAGTTCTTAAGAATGAGTGATTTGCTTTGGCTCCTAAATATCACATCCAGCACAAAACCAAAGAATCTCTCTTGATGGTGAGTTTTGGTACTTCTTCTGTCCACATCTACACACTACAGGGGCTTCTGCTTTTACTGTAGTTTTAATAAAAGAGCTGCTGGTGGCCTGTGACACACAAATAGCCATTCTCAAGCACGCAAGCTGCTAGTCGATTTATAAAAGCCGCTCCACACAGCGTCAACTCAGTATGACTCCAACTTAGAGATACAGCCAACATAAATAGCACAAGCCAGACTGATGGTTAAAAAACACACTTTTGTAACCTTTGTCAAGCTTAAAAAAATAAAGCAAGTATATCCTGCAGGAAGAAAGTAGTATGCAACTTTTAGTGCACTTTTATCACAAGCTGCGCGCTTAATACATGTTAGTATACGGGCTAAGTCTGTCAGATTACTTTTTCTTCGCACTCAGCACGTATTAATTACAACACATCTATGGTACATGTCGTACTTTGTATAAATCTATCTCCTATCTGAAAAAAATCCCATTCTTATTCCAAGGTGTGCATGGAAACTCCTACACTCTAGTGCTGAACTGAATTGAAAATTGTAATTATAACTGACTGAACATGAATGACTGAACAATGAGACTGGAAAGAGTAGCTGCTCTGAAAAATAAGTTGCCAAAAATGTGCCATTACGGGGGCAAAGAGCATGGGGGGCATGTCTGTGTGATGGAACATTTTAGGTTTTTTCCCCCCACTGCTTTTCCTTTCAATTTTATTTTCACTTTGTCTTCAAAAAAAATCATTCAAAATATTCATTACATGCCTGATTTATATTCAGCGCTTTCACCTTGTTGCTGCAGCAGAGTAGCTCTCGCCTCTTCATGTATAGAATGAAATATTAGTACGGGGTCTATTTTAACACAAGAGGATTCCAGCAACAGTGGAAAGCAGCTCTTAACAGCACTGTAAGCTCATGTGTCCAGCCAAAATGAGCAGAAAATATGAAGAAAGCCCCGAAAATGAGCTTGACTGTCTCATGCCAAACATGCTTGGTGTTATCTATTTGCAAAAACACCTTAAGCTATGAGGAAATAAGAAAACAAAACATATTTAGTTCCTCTAGTTTGGTAAGGAAGGTAAACTGTGGCAGAGGTCATTGGCACTCAAGCTGTGAGGAAATGTGAGCCACGTGATGGGAGCAAGGAGTGCAGTTTGTGCCTCGGTGTGGGGTGAGTTGTGTAAGCAGCTACACTGTTAATACTGTTAAAATACACCAGGGTCATTCCTGTTATGCAGCAACATGTTGGCCTCATAACTTTTGAAGAAAAGTTGGATTTTTTCCTGATTGTATTATAATGTTTCTGTATCATAATTTAGCCTTGAAAATAAGATCCTGTACACTTCTCTCAAGCAGCTTCACAATTCATTGTTTTTATTAACATTTTGGTACCTCTGGACCATCGCCAAGAGAATTAACAACACTGGTCTAAAATAGATTGTCCTCCCTGTAAACAAATTGTAATTCAGCCTAACAGTGTGGAAATTTAACAGTGTGGCAATCAGATGAAGCAGGATAAGTTAAAGTTAATGCTCTCCCTTCTTTACTTTTTTGAGTTCTCTTAACAAATAGTACGTCTCCTCTTGAAAATTCTCTCAATGAAATTGTATTTTTTGTGGAAGGTGAGAAACTAGTAACTAACAGTGTTATGGAAGTGGAAAATGACTTCAGGGACGCACAGTACATAATGAAAATGGTCAAAATGTAATAATATTTTGAGTAGTTTTTATTTTAATGGTTTTTGTCCTTGTAGAAGTTTGAAGCTTTGCACTGGACACACGGTGCTATTTTGGTAAAAGTTAAGTGGAAAGAAATGTTGCTACATAACAGGAATAACCCACCACATACACCGTCTCTAAATTAGGCTACCGAGGTTCAGCTGTTCAGGAAACATGTCAAACGCTTAAACGCGCACGGCACTGCTTGACTCAAGCGAGCACCCGTAGAAAATGTAAACAGAAGATTTACCCTGATGTGAGGGCTCTCACTAGCTTTGGATGAGATTATTTCAAGCACGTCGGCTCGGAGGTCCACCAGAAACTTCACTCCTCCCTCGACCCTGCTTATATGATTAAGCAACTGTTTATAACGGGGAGTCAAGCCGTACCGCAGCCTGTCTTCAACCTGCAAAATGGTCGCCACGTCTCGTAGCTGTGTGTCCAACAGCCTCATGGCCATCTCTGAAACGCTTTTATGGTCCACTCCGAAGTCTTGTGACAGCTTCGTCAGGAAGCCGAGTTTGTCTTCCTTGTCCAGACTGCCGTAGAAGTGCATGAACTCCAAGCTGTTCGATTCAGGAGGAGGAGGGTACTTGTCTCTCGTCTCGTATGTGGGTAAAGGTGCAACGACCCTCGCCAGGATCTCCTCCATTGCCGTGACACCGCGACGACCTGGGGTCGAATACCAACGCCAGCCGCTGACGTCCGAGGCCTCCAGAGCCGCTTTGAGAACAGCCCGGTGTCGCCAGCACCTCGCACTGCTTCGAAAAGCCCAGATAGCACGATGGGATATCATCTCCAGGAGGGAGCTCAGCTGTCTGTTTGGGCCCCGCGACCAGTGAACACACAGGAGGGAACCGTTTCCGGGTCTCTTAAAGAGACAGTACAGCTGTCATGGCAACAAGTGAGAGGGTTAGACTGCAGGTCCAGGACAGGTGGTATACACAAAACTATATATAATATATATATATATATATATATATATATACAATACAGGCCAAAAGTTTGGACACACCTTCTCATTCAATGCGTTTTCTTTATTTTCATGACTATTTACATTGTAGATTCTCACTGAAGGCATCAAAACTATGAATGAACACATGTGGAGTTATGTACTTAACAAAAAAAGGTGAAATAACTGAAAACATGTTTTATATTCTAGTTTCTTCAAAATAGCCACCCTTTGCTCTGATTACTGCTTTGCACACTCTTGGCATTCTCTCCATGAGCTTCAAGAGGTAGTCACCTGAAATGGTTTCCACTTCACAGGTGTGCCTTATCAGGGTTAATTAGTGGAATTTCTTGCTTTATCAATGGGGTTGGGACCATCAGTTGTGTTGTGCAGAAGTCAGGTTAATACACAGCCGACAGCCCTATTGGACAACTGTTAAAATTCATATTATGGCAAGAACCAATCACCTAACTAAAGAAAAACGAGTGGCCATCATTACTTTAAGAAATGAAGGTCAGTCAGTCCGGAAAATTGCAAAAACTTTAAATGTGTCCCCAAGTGGAGTCGCAAAAACCATCAAGCGCTACAACGAAACTGGCACACATGAGGACCGACCCAGGAAAGGAAGACCAAGAGTCACCTCTGCTTCTGAGGATAAGTTCATCCGAGTCACCAGCCTCAGAAATGGCAAGTTAACAGCAGCTCAGATCAGAGACCAGATGAATGCCACACAGAGTTCTAGCAGCAGACCCATCTCTAGAACAACTGTTAAGAGGAGACTGCGCGAATCAGGCCTTCATGGTCAAATAGCTGCTAGGAAACCACTGCTAAGGAGAGGCAACAAGCAGAAGAGATTTGTTTGGGCCAAGAAACACAAGGAATGGACATTAGACCAGTGGAAATCTGTGCTTTGGTCTGATGAGTCCAAATTTGAGATCTTTGGTTCCAACCGCCGTGTCTTTGTGAGACGCAGAAAAGGTGAACGGATGGATTCCACATGCCTGGTTCCCACTGTGAAGCATGGAGGAGGAGGTGTGATGGTGTGGGGGTGTTTTGCTGGTGACACTGTTGGGGATTTATTCAAAATTGAAGGCACACTGAACCAGCATGGCTACCACAGCATCCTGCAGCGACATGCCATCCCATCCGGTTTGCGTTTAGTTGGACGATCATTTATTTTTCAACAGGACAATGACCCCAAACACACCTCCAGGCTGTGTAAGGGCTATTTGACCAAGAAGGAGAGTGATGGAGTGCTGCGGCAGATGACCTGGCCTCCACACTCACCGGACCTGAACCCAATCGAGATGGTTTGGGGTGAGCTGGACCGCAGAGTGAAGGCAAAGGGGCCAACAAGTGCTAAACACCTCTGGGAACTCCTTCAAGACTGTTGGAAAACCATTTCAGGTGACTACCTCTTGAAGCTCATGGAGGGAATGCCAAGAGTGTGCAAAGCAGTAATCAGAGCAAAGGGTGGCTATTTTGAAGAAACTAGAATATAAAACATGTTTTCAGTTATTTCACCTTTTTTTGTTAAGTACATAACTCCACATGTGTTCATTCATAGTTTTGATGCCTTCAGTGAGAATCTACAACGTAAATAGTCATGAAAATAAAGAAAACGCATTGAATGAGAAGGTGTGTCCAAACTTTTGGCCTGTACTGTATATATATATGTCTTTCAACAGGTTGTCACTATAGATGAACATTTAACACCAGTCTATATTATCAGGAAAAACCCTGTACAATAACCCTGTAACACCAAACACCCATATCACCAGCATATTCTATATTTTTATAGTTTAAATAGTTACTAAACTACTAAGGGCAACAAAAAAACAGAAGCACATTTGTTGTATTTGTACACATTCTTGACCATTGAAGCTGAATCTGATGCAGTGTGAATAAAGGGAATAGACTACATATCTGTAACAGGAAGTGTAATAATTTTGTATACAAAATGACCAATAAGACCACATTGTATAATAGCTGTCACCACAAGGCTACCTACTGATGGTCAGCTGAATATCCTCTGTTAAATAAAAACACATTTGGAGAGACCTTTTCACATTTTTCATAGCAATAAAAGTAAAAGAGGTCAGGTCAATGTAACAACATAAATACACAGATATTTGTCTTAATATTAATTTGTAAATTTGAAATAGAAGCAATGTTACACTTGTTTAAATAGCTGCTACTCCAAACATTTTGGTCTGTTGTTTGTTAGTGTTTTGTGTCTTTAGCAAATTCATGTTTTTTTGTTTTTGTTTTGCTTTTTAATTTTTTTATTCATCAGCTCATCCTGATAACAGAGTTGACAGCTGATGGCTGTATAAAACTTATTTGTTTGCTAGGAAAATATATTCAGAACCAAAACTTGGCTTTATAGCTATCAAATAAGTTATTTTTAAAGCTTATTTTTCAATCTGATGTTATTATTTTCATGTGCCCATGAATTATTATTTACTTATCGTTTATTTTTGGGTGTTATTCCCTGATCTGTAATCTCTCTGCACACCATGAAAGCAAGTTGTCATGCTTTTGAACAAATTTCAAAAGCTTTGACACATTCATGCAAATGATTATGTACAATTGGCTGCTGTTTCCTACATTATCAACTGCTGATGTCATGTTGATCAAATGTATTATACTGATTCTCTGTTGAATAGTTCCGAGCTTTTACAGGTAATCCATCGCGTGTAGCTGTTTGTACAGATTGTTTCAAGAAATGCATTTACGGTTTTACAAATGTCAAGGATGATTTGAAATACGTACCTAAATGACTGAGAATAATTGTCACAATCTGTAGCTCAAAAATGTTGACAGAAGGATAATATTATCAAAATTTAATATATTGGAAAGAAAGGCCTGTTCTTAGAATTGGCAGACAGCTCGTCATGAATATTGTCTGCTGATTTCACAATTAAACAATATGTTCTTACTGACCCACTGAGACCCAAATTCATCAGTTTTTATGGCAGCTGTCAAAACAATAAGACAGCACATAAATTAATTACAGCACTTGTATTTTGGTATGTTTCATTAAGCACTATTAGTATCAGTAGACAACATTGTTGGCAAAGGGGAGTTCATTCCCTCACTTGTATAATGCATTAGTTTGGAAAGATTCTGCTCATTGGCATTATTCTATTTATTGACTAAGATTTGGGTAACATTATTTATGATGCATCAGCTGAATATCACTCAGATAAATTAATAAGCTGAAAACAAGAAGGCAGAAAATGATGCATGCACAACCAGCCTGCACTACTCATAACATCTTTGTATTATAATTTTTATGCTACCACTGATTATTACTGATTTAGTTTACCTGTATTTGATTGAGAGGAGCGGTGAGAATAGAATCTTACTTATGGTTTTCCAGATCGCAAAGGTTTTTGAGCCAGCAGCAACCATTCAATGATAACATTTCTTTAAATGTTGCTTCTTTAATGTAACCCGTAAGTGCATTTCTTGAAACAATCTGTACAAACAGCTACACTCCTCCTCTATCGGAACCCTTCTGCCAAGGTAAAAACATCAACCATCTGTCCTGTGTTATTTGATAATGTTTGATCTGCCTCCCTGTAGGCTGATATATCAATACTTGGGATGTAGTAACTAAGGGCCACTCAATTATTTCATCCACTGCAAGTTCTTATATGACTGCAGTATAAAAAGTCTGTGTGAGGTGCGATGACCTTTACACTATTTTTTATGTATTTCAGTGTTTAATTTTTTTGGTCAAGGGAAGTTGAAATTTATAAATCAGTTTATTGCTGAAATATCTGTTATCGTTTCCCCATAGATCAGGTCAGAAGAAGCCACTGATCAAAAATCATGATCTTGTTTTTTTAATGAGGAGCTTTATAATAGTCTTACTGCTGTATGACAGAGTTTCTACCACAGTTGTGGACTTATTGTGACATATTGATGACTTTGGACTCGATTTGACAAAATCAAAAAAGACCTGCAATTAGTCTTGGACTTTAGCAGCAGTGACTCAGGACTTCACTTGAAACTGAGCCTTTTTTTTTTTTTTATAAGATATTTTTTGGGCCATTTTGCCTTTAATGGACAGGACAGGTAAGCGTGAAAGGGGGAGAGAGAGGGGGGATGACATGCAGCAAAGGGCCACAGGCTGGATTCAAACCCAGGCCGCTGCAGCAACAGCCTTGTAAACGGGGCGCCTGCTCTACCACAAAGCCACCGACACCCTGAAACTGAGCTTTTTTAACTTGAAAATACTTCATACCTTCCCCAAACCCACAGGATAAAAGTAGGCCTAAGGTAGGCATGTATATGATATATTTTACAACATGGACATTTACATTTAGATTATAGAACAAGGCAGGACAGAAACATACAAAATTATGTCGCAGTTGTTTTAAGAAACTTTATACACATATACATTTTAAAAAGCATTCATAATATTTGTAAATTTAATATATTATTACTTGGTTGTTTAAATGGCTTTAAATTTGATGAAGAGTGCATTATGACTTGTTTAGGACTCGAAACTCACAGTTTAGGACCAGGGGTTGGACTTGGGATTGGTCAGCCTTGACTCGGGATTTGAATGCAAAGACTTTAGACTTGTGATTTGCAGAACTACGACTTTAAATACAGTTTGATATAATGAAAATGATTTTTAAAAGCTTCATATATATAAACACAATGTACTGTGACCACAACCAGCTCTAACCCTAATGGGAAATGAAGTTTGAAACAAGTTGAAGTGAAACAACTTTTAACATACAGTGTGAGTAGAAACAAAATGTGAACAAAATCACATCCAAGTACTGAGAAACCAATATTAAAATCAGTACCAAACAACAAAAGACAACAGAACAAATCTAACATAAATTAGGTAGATATAAAGACATGAGAGACTAATGACAAAAGATTCACTTAAAGATTTTACATTTATTGTTTTGACAGCTTTTTTGTGTCATGAGAAATAAATCACTGACAAATATTGTTCTATTTCCTTCACGAATACAAAGACTTGAAGTTTTTTGTTTGTAAATTTACATTTGTGAATGTGAAATTTGGCAAGAAGTAAAAAAACATTGATGAAACATAGTAAAATCTTTGTCACAGTAATCACAACACTCACATCTAATATTTCTATAGTAAATGGAGAATGTTGTCATATTTAGTACTATCTTTCCACAACACACGTGAAAATACAAGACCAAAATAAATGGGAGCAATTTCAGGATTTTGTCCATAAAAATGTACGTCTATGTCAACTTTAACTTTTCAAAGAAATGTTTCACTGGGTGGAATCTATGTCCTGTCACTACAGGTAACAGACTATCACACGGGTCACAAATGACGACGTAACACCACCCAAACCTGGCAACCAGTGCTGGCAACCCACGGAGCTTCCTCAGCCAATCAGAAGTCAGCTAGAGTTGACGCGTGCTTAGCTGCTGCTCAGCACACCGCCAGCTAAACCAGGCGAGATTCCTCAGTGACCATCAAGTGAACTTAACCGCCTGAAAAGTTTGTATTTTCCATGAAAGATATTCCAGTATTTGTCGACATTGCAGGTGGTGAGCGACTCATATGATACTGTAACGTTAGAGTTCCCTAGAGACATATAATCTTCCTCCAACGCGAAATAAGAGATATTTTCTTTTAGTTAACTTACTCTAAAGTTAGCTTGTTTGTGTCGTCGTTGGCTAATGTTAGCTAGCTAATTAGCTAACTTGGAAAAGCTTAAGCGTTCGGCGGTTTTAATTTATAATGCGTGAACCTTGTTTTTTTTTTGTTTTTTTTACCTTGAGTAAGCGTGTTTGCTTCCAGCCGTTTAATGTTCACTGTGGTTCACAGAGGTCCATGTGAAAGATGGGAAGAGAGAAGGACGTTAAAGGAGAAGTGAAGGCCAAGCACAAAGCAACGAAGCTGAAAAGGCTAAGTGACTATGAAAGCGCTGGTGCCTGGGGAGACACGATCAAGAACAAGTGAGTAGTGTGTGAGACAAAGTAAAAATGTATAGAAAAAATGATTTGCTGTCAGGCACAATTTAGCCAGCGCTTCATTATTCAATCAAGTGCCATTATCAAATAAGTTACCTGTATAGTTATCCCGTCATAGTTGTCAAGTTAGAGCAGCTCCTTAATAATGTATGCATGTGAGCTGACTGCAGCACATCCAACATCTGTTCGGCATCAACACAGGCCACACATCAAAGCTGTTTCTTTGCATGGATCCTGCAAGTAGCTTTGCCTTTCATGTTGTTGAAATATGGAGACAAATTAATTTGGATTAAAAAAAAAATCTTGCAGTGCTGATAAATCAGATGAGAGTGATAGCCATATGGCAGTATGTGTCTGCTACTAAAGGAACAGACACAAAAAAAGAGTTAGTGTGCGAATGCTACGCTGGTTGAGCTGTCAAGCAGGCCGGTGGCATTGAGTGCATGCATTCATTTCACTGAGTACAGTGGGTACTCCATCTTCATGTGAATAAATTAATTTACCTTGATATCTGATGTGTTTATTACCATGCATATGTGAGCAGACAAATGAATGTGGAGTGATCTGTCATTGGCTTGTGTAATTGATGAGAGTGGGGAGATGAATAGACACCTGTAAGCGCTACTGGCAGTGGAGCAGGCGGCTTTCTGTGACAGCTAGCCTCGTTATTTCATGGCACACTGACTGAATAACTGATTAAGGTTTAACTTATCGTCATCAGGTACAAGACTCATGGAACAAATTTTCCTCAGCATGAAAGGGCCTCTCGCTTTTAATATTGCACTGCCTTAGTCGGATGTTCAAAATGTGGTATTTTGAATAAAAAAAAAATGAACATGGCTGTGGAATAATTGCTGCTCAATTTCATGTTCCATTCAACCCTGAAGGGTGGAAAGGTCAGGCTGAAAAGAAACATGTTCAGAGTTGTAAGGGGGTCCTCCGAGACACAGCTTGTGTGATTGGTGGCATTTTAGAGCGTTGTCTGACTAGAATGATACCAGCTTTCTCAGCAAGCAGCTTTCTCCTTGTAGTTCTACGATATTTCTCTGAAAGCTGTTGTTGCAAATAATCTGTGAAAAATTTTCATACTTCTCTGCCTTCTTTACAGTTTGTAGAGCCTCTAATGGCTAACGAAAACAACTAGTCAGAGCCAAGGAGTCTCTTATACAGCTGTCAGTCACATCAATCACTGCTTGTCAGTGGGTAAATGGACTTGCACTTTTGTATAGTGCTGTTCTAGTCTTTCAACCACTAAAAGCGCTTTCACATTCCATGTCACTTTCACCCATTCACACACACATCCATGCACTGGTGGCCGAGGCTACCATACAAGTGGCCGCCTCTACTGAGTTTTTAATCACTGCAGTCACTCACCCATCGAGAGCGATTTGGGGTTCAGTATCTTGCCCAAAGATGCTTTGACATGCGGACTGGAGAAGCCAGGGATCATATCCCCTCTTTAGCTCCGGAGTCATTGCTGCCAGAAAGTTGGTAGGTGATTAAAATGTAGGTATAATGTCTCAAATATGGCAGCTGGGTCACAGACCTTCTCATTTCATAGCTAAACAGTGCACAAAAATATGTTTCTGAAAACATTTGAGACAGTAAATAGGCAATGCAACAACATAATCTTGATTTGTATTTGATTGCTGCTGCCTAGTTTGGCAGTTTGACCACACAAACAGTGATTGACGTGACTGACAGCAAGAGATGCCTTGGCACTGATTGGTTGTTTAATGTGTGCAACAGTAAAGCAGCAGGAAAAGTATCTGTCTCATGTACCTCTTTCAGAACATAGTGACATTTTCAGCAAACATGACACAAAGTTATTGTCATAAAAGTTACCAACTGTAGTTTAACTAATCTTGTGTTACAAATACTGCATCACTCACAAGCCTTTTTTTCTCCTTTTCTCCTCATTTTCATCCCTGTCCTGCCTTGACATCCTGATGAACAGTGCCAAGTTAACTAAATCCACAGAGAAAACCGATAATGGAAAATCTCATAAGAAAGTGAGTGGCTCGTTTTCTTCCCTCCTCCCTGCACTGCACAGGGCTAGACGTGGCAAAAATTTGAGCAGATGTTCATTTTAGTCTGAGACCAATTTAGAACATCTCAATGGAAATTTGGCGTCATCTTGACCAGGGGGAGGTGTGGTGGTGGTCATGTGAGTTCACCCAGAACTCGTGGGCTATCTGGAGTTAGCAGGTCAGATATCAGGGTGAAGATTCCAGCCCCAGTTACCCACTGACCCCAGCTCACACATAGCTGCAGTGTGTGCAGCAGCTTGTCCTAACTAGGTTACCTCCATATTATTAGATCCCCACATCGTTGGCAGGGAATATTTGTGTACCAATACCCAGACCAGTGGAAGTGATTATCTTACTCTTATCTTAATCTTATCTTAATTATCCCAGCTTCTAACCAACAGCCTCAGATAAGGATGTGGGTGACATGTTTACGTGTTTCAAGATTCAAAATATGATAAATGTACTCCCCAGAAGCCCGAAGATATGATATGACCTCTTCTGGTTGTACGAATGTTTAAAGACTTAATGCATACATTTGTTTATGTAAGTGTTAGTGTTCATAGGCTATCTGAGTGCATGCTCTTGAATTGCAGTCATGCTGTGTTAAACTTAGTGCATGTCATCCCCTCAGGTCAAGACACCTAAGACTGATACTCTGGAGTCACCCAGCAGTCCCAGGTAGGAATGAAGTCATACCAGTAGACTGTATTTCATTGTAGGCCGAGAAAATAAACTGACAAGCTGCCACGGAGCCATACTGCCAGAAATCTTATTTTTTCTCCTCTTTTTTTCCCTCTTCCCTCCTGAGGTGCTGGGAATTAATTCTTGCGTTTTGATGTTCAGGGGCCCTGGACAAAAGCCATTCCCATTTTATACAATGTGTTAAGCTGTCTCACACAAAATTAATTTTACTCTGCACTGAAGACAAATATCTGTGGCTTGTCAGGGAAGTAATAAATGAGAATGCATGGTTTGAGTAGTTGGATGCTCAGCTGGGTGTTGCCGGGATGGCAGGCTTTGGCCGAAGGCCTGCTGTGTCGAATCTGTCTCACAGCAGTGTTTCTACAGAGTTGTTAATGAATTGTTTCCCAGGCTTGGATTTAACCCAGCCCAATACAGCGAGCGAGTGACATCTTAAAGGAGATGTCAGTTGGATAAACTATTTTTCTAAATTTTGGCTTTTAATGTTTCTCTTAAGTTTTTTTCCTCTTGAAAGGCTCAGGTGGAAACTGTGCTAGTTGAGTGGGTTTCATGCAGGGAGGAAAGTTAAGGGCTTGCAGCAGAGTTAGGGAAGAAATAAGGCTATTAGAACCACAGACCGTAAATGTCAGAGGACGCAGTGACCCAACCTCCTATGTATGGCTTTTTATGGATTTTGCTCAGTGGTGCAGTATCCCAAAAAAACATGACCATCCTACACACACACTTTTTTCCTTATCTACAAATTGAGCAGTTGAACTGAACAGCTTTGCTATAGCACACACTTAAGTTTGTGATGTAAACTAAAAAGATAACAAAGAGAATGTTACAGAAAAGGCATCTCAAATATGTGTAATTTGTGTTGAAAATAAAAAGAGCTTTGGGTCACAGACAGTTCTCCTACTGCGAAGGTTACATGCATTTATGTGTCAGCGTGAATGTGATTGTGACAAATTGTGACACCTGCAGGCAGGCAGCGGGGCCTCTGCATTCACATGTCATCATAAAAATCTCTGCGTCCCTGATGGGAACTGACGCACAGAGCCTTATGCAAAGGGAACCTGTTGGAACCAATTTAGTAAATGTGGCTGTATTTGGCCTATAATTTCCTGCAGTTTTATAGGAAGAGTTTAACTTTTTTCAGCATGATGTCTTCATAAAAATACCATGCAAGTTGGAATAAGCACTCAAAGTATGAATGGACTTTTGAGTTGTCTAAGTGTGGTTAGGATTAAAAGTATTATTAATTTATTTAATAAATATTTATTTATTATTTTTATTATTTTGTCATGCACTTGAGAGCTGTACAGTTTCTCCTGTGAGCAAATACTGGAAAGGACGCTATACAGGGCAAATGGGTTAGAAGTTTGTATTAAAGTGGAACTTCACTTGCTGAATATATGCAAAGGTAAAAATGGTGTAAAATATTCATAACTGTGCTTTAATTAGTTTATAATCGCCTGAAAATAAGAATTGTTTTTGTTACCTTAAGCCCCGTTTCCATCAAACACTTCTGGTATGGTACCTTTGGAACCAAAAGTAACCCTTCAGACATGGTACCTAGACCCTAGCGTTTCCACCACAAACAATACTCTTAAATGTGGGCGGGGTTGTTGTCACTCACTGCTCCGTCCAGCACTCACTGTATTTCCTCTTTTATCAGTCTGCACCTTGTTTATCGTCCACAGAATGATGCTGCACGCTGACATTTTTAGAACAAAATAAAACAGGCTGCAGTGAGAGTCTCTCACCATGGGATATTTAAAAATAGCGGGGTTGTGCATGAGTCCTTCTCAGGCAAGCTCACGGGTTTTGTGCTGCTGTAGCCCACAGGAACAGGTCCTCTTCTACAGAGTCCGCATGTTCTCTCTAAATAGGGCCATTTGCGTTTTCGCGTCAGCCACAATTGTTCTCTTACACGCATGGCATTCGGAGAAGTTTCAGTCCTGCAACCTCACTGCTAGATGCCACACACTAGGCCTTTAAGAAATAAAATTGGAGGAACATTTTTCCTTATATTTTATCTGTTTATGTCCAAAACATATTTCCTCCAGGGGTAAAACAAAGGTCCCATATCATCTTCATTTTGCGTCTGAACTCCAACATGTACAGCATTTCCAGCAAAAACAAGCCGGAGTCAGAGAGCAGCGTACCTGTGGGAAGGCTCATTACTCTTAATCAGAAGCCATCAGGGGTCATACTGTAGAAGTGCGGAGGGAGTGGATTAGGCTGAAACGATGTGTACCTGGCAGTTGCTGCCATAGGGGCTTGTAATTAAGATTCAGTAAGCCAGTTTGACAATTACGTGCTACAGCGCTTTACATTTTCACCCATTTCCCCCTTAACTAAGTGTTATTACAAGGGAAGGAGAACTCTGTTATTTATTAGCCGTGGTGTCTCTAATTTGTTGATTTCTTAATTTGAGTATTTCCCTACCCACCAATTCCTCACTCTGCAGGGAAATCCAAGCTTGCAGTTGTGTAATTATTTTTTTTATTTCTAATTGCTGTAATTATGTCATTATCATTACTGTTTTGATAATGCTGCTTAATTACCACAATTATGTGTGATTTTTTGTGGTCAGTGTGTCGTCATTGTGTGCTTAAGATTTTTTTCTCTCTCTGCTCTGCATAGCGGGGTAATTTTGTCCTAATTCTGTAGCCAGCAGTGAGGCAGACAGCAGTGAAAAAGAGCCATTAAGCTTTTACTCTGCCTTGTTATTAGCCTATTGAGTAGGGGCTAATTCGGAATCAACAGACAAAATTAAGAAAAACGGAGTAAGATCGCAGAAATGTGTTTGTTCAAGTACAACAACATTGAAGAAAGGAGGATACCAATAGGGCCAAATAGGGATGGTTTTTAAAATGAATTGAGTTTAAGAGGGGTGACTGTTATTTACTCCAAGCTTAACTTCAAAGCTGCAGTCTGCCATGTGCTGTGTTTAGAAATATGAAAAGAATCTTCGTAAGACTACAAAGCAGACTGTAAAAAAAGCAACCAACAACATTAGGATGACAAGTTCACTTAATTTTATGTTGTATATGGGTGCTGAGTGTTGTCTCTTCTATTGTGGTTTAGGGAGTCAGTCGAACAGGAGCCAGAGGATGATGACTTTACTGCCCAGAAGAAAGGGATGAAACGGAAAAGAGTTAAGGATGAGCCCATGGAAGGCCCTTCACACTCCACTGCTACACCTACGTGAGTCCGACCAGGGTTATCATTCATAAAACAGTGCGTAAGATGCATACTGAAAGTGTACATGTGCACTAGGGTTGGGTCGGTTCTCGGTAATACCAGTTCGGTCCGGTACTCCATCTTGGACCGGGTTTTATTTTTTGAGACCGACCGGACCACATACTCGGGCAGAATGTACGCGGAGCGGATGCCGCGGAGGTCCGCCCGGTAAAAGTGGACATCCGCAAGCCCCGTGCGCGCAAAGCACGACCGCGCGGACTTCGCTCTGCGCACCAGTGTCACACAAAAGACTGTTCGGCATGCATTTTTCACATCGCAGGGATTTTTCACGGACATTTTGTCCGCTTTGCTTATAGTACGACCGAGTCTGTGAGCACCTGTGTCTGCCTCTTCACCAAGCGCACAGCAAGCAGGAGAGAGAGGGGGGTGGGGCGGGGACTGAGCTAGGAGGGGCGAGTGCGCATGCGCCTCTACTGTAGCCTGGAGTTTGTTTAATAGTGAAAGGGAGAAGATAATGGCGGACAATTTAGTCTCGACGAAATCAAGGAATGCGCCACTATGGCAACACTTTGGCTTTGAGCCAGACGAAGGAGGCAACCCTTGTTTGCACTGATTGAGTAAGCTGCAAAATTTATTTGTAAGGAATAAAAGAAACAACTTGTTACTGTCTCTCTGTTGTCCTAAGGTCGTTTTTTATTTTAAATGAGTCAGTTGCGCCCCCAAGTGGCTTGATGCGTTTTTTTTACAAAAAACGGACCGTTTTTTTTTTCTCATACCGACCCAACCCTAATGTGCACAAAAGCTAAAAATGATCGTGATTTGTGAAATGGTCGCCTGCCTGTGCGCGATTTCCTTTTATAAATCCCAAATCAATTTTAAATTGTCCATGGATCAGCCTCATATCCCATCCTCTACACGCCCACATTCAAATATAAATGGTCAATGCAAAGCACCTCGTGAATGTTAATGCATAGAAATGAGCCTGCTGATTATTGGTTGCTTTACACGGTATTCATATGATTACAGAAATAGACAAAATGATTGTGATGATCAGTGTTATCTCCCACCCTGTGATATCATTGTGAAATTGAAGTTTGATAGATGAACATTCGAATTTGGCCTGCGTTATTAGGACTCATAATGATGATATGGAGTGTAATGATTGTGCGAGTCACTGCCTTCATTTCCAGACTTTGCTGATTTACACAGTCCATATGTGTAGGTGGTGAAGATGCACTTGAGGTAACTAGAGAAGGTAGAGTGTGTGTGGCAGCCACCGCTGTGTTTCCTTGGCTTATATTTTGTACAATTAAAAGGTGCATGTGGAAAAGTTATGGCTCACTAGCACATGCATAAATAACACTGCTGGTTTAAAAGTTCATGATAAAGTGGATCTTTAAGTAACGTTTGATATGAACTGATATTAAATGTGTCAGATGCATCATTATACGCCTAACGATGCCGCTCACATTTAATTTCTACAATGTGTCTTCAAATCACCACCTCACCATCTGCGTTGCCGATTTCCCCATCTCCAAAATGTTTGTATGCATGGTCACAGTTTCAGTACAGGAGCGCACAGATCCCAGCTTTTGCGTGGGAAGTGACGTACGCCTCTTTCAGGCCTTGTTTTGTGCGTACACAGAGGTTATATATAAATGAGACCCCAGGTCTTTGAGCTGTGGATCGCCTGAACTGAAAACATTTACACGTAGCCTTTTCTTAATATTAGAGTCTGCTTAACAGAGTTGTTTTGGCATTTGAAACACGTGTTAACATTTGTCTATGAATATTTAAAATTGGTAGTTTATGAACTTCCACTCTTCATTTCTTTTTCCAAACTCTGGAAGCTCTTAGTATACTGTCTGTGTTGTGGGTACCTGCAGCTCAAAGAAGAAAAATAAGCGACACAAGCAGGAAGAAGAAAGTGACGTAGAAATTCAGAATAAGAAGTCAAAGAAGAGAACTGAAAAGGTAAATGTCTGTCTTCCCCAGGTAATCTGTCTCCATCAGTACGAACTCCTGCTGTATGAAGTTTGCTAGAAATGCGGTTCACAGAGGGAATGTTTGAATTCACATTTCGAGTGTTTTTCTCTGCACAGGCGGTAAAGAGAGAGGAAGGAGAGCATCCAGTCTCTAAAAAACCAAAGAGGACAAAGGAGGAGATTGACGAGGCAAGACAGCTGAAGATCAAAAAGAAGAAGGAGGAGGAGGAGCAGAATCGCTGGAGATGGTTGGGAAACACTGCTCTTTTTCACTTTGCACTGCCCTGAGACCCATCCCTACTCTACAAACACACGCAATCAAACACAAACATGGGGAAATCGGAGAGCAGCAGTTTTCACTTTCTCAAATTCATCCTAAATTTTTCGTCATGTTGCTTTTTGTCAGGTGGGAGGAAGAGAAGTATGAAGATGGGGTGAAATGGAAGTTCCTTGAACACAATGGACCCTACTTCCCTCCTGAGTACCAGCCTCTGCCAGACGACGTTCACTTCTACTATGCTGGTTAGTTGAGCTTGAAAGTTGAATGTGTCAGAGAGGGTGATTGAAACATGGCTGAAAGGGTTTCAGTCACTCCACATGTTCTTACTTGTGAGTGTAATTTGAAATTCTCAGGTGCTGTTGTGACCATTCAGAGTAAATTCATATACTTTAAAGCACTACGCAGCAACATCAGTTTTTGATGATTTTCTACCATTGTTTTTTTTTCCTTTTTCTTTTTATATGTGATAGAGTCTGCTTTACAAAATCAGCGTAGAAGCAGCAAAAAAAAGACAAAACGTTGGATAACTGTTAAAATGACACAAAAGTGTTATTTAAGATCAGGTAAGAAGAATAGAGAAGGCAGAAGTAGAGACATCAAAATTAAAAATATGATGACAGCAAATCAAAAAGATGAAAAACAGACAGCAGCATAGAGCATAATAATACACATAACTTAAAGAAAGCACAAGTAAAAGCAAGTCAATGAACCACGAAGAAAACAAACCATATTATTGACAACACCAAGCTGACAGTTGGCTGTCAGTCTTTGTCGGGCCATCTCTGAGCGTCTGTCGCCCTAGTTTTTGCGGTGTGCCCTGCATGGTTGGCACTAGTTGGCCCTTGTCGGCTGCTGTTTGGATCAATGAGCATGTTGAATTGCTGGCGGAGCCTGTCGGTGAATGGGATCACTCTGATTGGCGAGTCAGCTCAGTGCATGAGAAGAGAAACATGAATGAGGAAAGCAAACAAACAGCTTAAGTAAGAGGGAGTGGGATCAAAGCTAACTTGTTACATTAGGTAAAATTATTTTATAGCCTTTAAACTCTTTAGCAGAAATGGCTCCTAATTGACCGTGTTAGTTTTTGCTAGTGCGCAGTGAATATCCTTTGTTCTTTCAACATCGGGTCGTGTTGTTAATGTGCATACTGGCTAACCAGCGTCTTGAATCCGTCCTGTCAGTCTTCTTGTTTCCCTTTTTCAATGACGTATACAGACTACTGCTACCTGCTGGTATGGAAAGTTATTTCCTCTTATGCCGGCTGAGAACGTGCTAGTTGGCCATTGGCTGTAGTCTTTGCGGTGTGTTCAAGCCCAACACGAGGCGCTGCAATAGTCTGCCTTAATCACCACTAGTTCTTTGATGAGGCTTAGGTGGGTTTGGGCCCTAAGACTTAAAGGTACAGTACAGGCCAAAAGTTTGGACACACCTTCTCATTCAATGCGTTTTCTTTATTTTCATGACTATTTACATTGTAGATTCTCACTGAAGGCATCAAAACTATGAATGAACACATGTGGAGTTATGTACTTAACAAAAAAAGGTGAAATAACTGAAAACATGTTTTATATTCTAGTTTCTTCAAAATAGCCACCCTTTGCTCTGATTACTGCTTTGCACACTCTTGGCATTCTCTCCATGAGCTTCAAGAGGTAGTCACCTGAAATGGTTTTCCAACAGTCTTGAAGGAGTTCCCAGAGGTGTTTAGCACTTGTTGGCCCCTTTGCCTTCACTCTGCGGTCCAGCTCACCCCAAACCATCTCGATTGGGTTCAGGTCCGGTGACTGTGGAGGCCAGGTCATCTGCCGCAGCACTCCATCACTCTCCTTCTTGGTCAAATAGCCCTTACACAGCCTGGAGGTGTGTTTGGGGTCATTGTCCTGTTGAAAAATAAATGATCGTCCAACTAAACGCAAACCGGATGGGATGGCATGTCGCTGCAGGATGCTGTGGTAGCCATGCTGGTTCAGTGTGCCTTCAATTTTGAATAAATCCCCAACAGTGTCACCAGCAAAACACCCCCACACCATCACACCTCCTCCTCCATGCTTCACAGTGGGAACCAGGCATGTGGAATCCATCCGTTCACCTTTTCTGCGTCTCACAAAGACACGGCGGTTGGAACCAAAGATCTCAAATTTGGACTCATCAGACCAAAGCACAGATTTCCACTGGTCTAATGTCCATTCCTTGTGTTTCTTGGCCCAAACAAATCTCTTCTGCTTGTTGCCTCTCCTTAGCAGTGGTTTCCTAGCAGCTATTTGACCATGAAGGCCTGATTGGCGCAGTCTCCTCTTAACAGTTGTTCTAGAGATGGGTCTGCTGCTAGAACTCTGTGTGGCATTCATCTGGTCTCTGATCTGAGCTGCTGTTAACTTGCGATTTCTGAGGCTGGTGACTCGGATGAACTTATCCTCAGAAGCAGAGGTGACTCTTGGTCTTCCTTTCCTGGGTCGGTCCTCATGTGTGCCAGTTTCGTTGTAGCGCTTGATGGTTTTTGCGACTCCACTTGGGGACACATTTAAAGTTTTTGCAATTTTCCGGACTGACTGACCTTCATTTCTTAAAGTAATGATGGCCACTCGTTTTTCTTTAGTTAGCTGATTGGTTCTTGCCATAATATGAATTTTAACAGTTGTCCAATAGGGCTGTCGGCTGTGTATTAACCTGACTTCTGCACAACACAACTGATGGTCCCAACCCCATTGATAAAGCAAGAAATTCCACTAATTAACCCTGATAAGGCACACCTGTGAAGTGGAAACCATTTCAGGTGACTACCTCTTGAAGCTCATGGAGAGAATGCCAAGAGTGTGCAAAGCAGTAATCAGAGCAAAGGGTGGCTATTTTGAAGAAACTAGAATATAAAACGTGTTTTCAGTTATTTCACCTTTTTTTGTACATAGTACAAGTACATAACTCCACATGTGTTCATTCATAGTTTTGATGCCTTCAGTGAGAATCTACAATGTAAATAGTCATGAAAATAAAGAAAACGCATTGAATGAGAAGGTGTGTCCAAACTTTTGGCCTGTACTGTATATTGTGCAGGAATGTCCTAAAAAGCAATGTATCGACCAATATGAAATGAATCCCTCTCAATCATCACTTAGAGCCACCAGAAGCATGTGATAGTGTATTTATCTGCAGAGACCCTGCCCTCTGCCTGTATTCTCTTATTTTCTTCTTATTTTGCTGGGTTTGTGACGTTCCTGGGCACAGTGCACAGGTGAGGTCGGGACTATGAAAAGGTAGCGCCCAGGTGCCAGTCCGTAAGCAGCATACATACGAGAGGAAGCTATGAAAATTGCAGACACATTGCTGGCTTTACTGTTTACAAACAGTAGCCGACAGTTACTGCAAAGTATACCTGCATAGTGCAGAATCAGTGACTTACCCTCAGACAGCCCTCAGAAGCAATTTAAAAGAAGTTAATTCATTTCTCAAGTCACACCCAATTCATGCCTTGATTGGCTGGCTGTGTGAAGGTGAGAAAGGAGCCAGGGTTTGAACTTCTCTCCCTACCTCTCTTTTTTCATTTTTGAAAAAAACTAGTTCTATCACTGTTCATTTCATTTCTTTTGTACACGCGGGTATGAATACCTTCGAGGAGAGACTCTCCCTGTATTTAATGATTATCGTGTCTCCCCACTCTATACCATGGTTGGCTTAGTCATGTAGAAGAGGAGTCGTCCCCCAGCAGGACAGTTGACCCCCAAAAAATGCAATGAAGCAATGTGTGGTCTGTTTGAAGTTCAAGAAGAAGTCTGGGGTGTTAAATTGTGTGGCGTTCCCCCCACAGTCACAAACCCCTGGCTTTCTGTACACATTTGAAAATGAGACAGGTGAATTATACTGTAACATCAAAAGAAACTCTTAGTTGCTTTAAAAATATACTGAAATCATCCAGATTCTCAAACTTTCTTAAACTTAGAAATCCAGACAGAGTGCAAGCTCAGATTTAGAGAACAGTGGACAAAGCTGCATTATGTAAAAAGAAGAGGTCTTGGAAGTGCGCAGATTTATGGATGAAAGTGTACTGACACACACAAACACAATACACACAAACACATAATTGCATCATTAGGACGCAGAAGGTGTGTTGGGTCAAACACTGATTGATGACTTTGATTGCGTTTGCTTTGTTAAGCAGTCAAGCCACAACAGTGTCCTACAGGGAGTCAGTTTGATCTGTTCATTCCTGTGCTTGCATGCACTTGTTTGTAGCTCACTCCTGGTAGTGGACTTGAATATAGATCTTTGTCCTTGTCTCTGAGCCTACCTCTATAAATACATGGATTAGTTTGACAGGACTCAAGAGGAGCTAATGGGTGTTAACAGCATGTAGGGTTTTGATCTGAGCTTCTAAAGGTGTGTGTGTGCGAGTTGTTTATGTAACATGTAATTTCAGACAGCGAGGCCATGAAGCAAATTAGGATTCCCATGTTGTTTTGTGTTGAATGAAATTAAAATGGCATGCTTGTGTTTGTTTGTGTGCAGGTAAGGAGGTGAAACTGAGCCTGGCAGCCGAGGAGGTGGCGTTTTTCTTTGGCCAGATGTTGGACCATGAGTACACCACCAAGAAGGTGTTCCGGGAGAACTTCTTTAAAGACTGGAGGAAGGTAAAGCAACACAGAAAGTAGTGATTTTGTCAGTTTAGGGAGAATCAAAAGCACCCCTAGCTGACCCTCTAAACTGACGCCCTCAGCTCAGAGGTTCATCCTGAGTATGAAAAATTAAATAAAGTGAGTTTGACATTTACATGAAAGAAGCCCTTTAAAAATTCAAATAAAAGATATTTCCATGCTTTACAGCAGTTTTGTCCGAATTCTGAATGTGAATCATCATGGTTTTTGTCCAGCTACATTTCCCCTGACGCTGCCTCGATGATGATGATGACTGGGAGCTTTGTCAACTGTAATTTTCCATGCACACGATTGCTTTGTCTACGTCAAAACTTAAAATGTTATTCTAGGGTAATAATGCAGTGTTAGCTCTTATAGTTTCAGCTCCAGACACACTCTCTTGATAACACCCAAGTACAGTATTAGTTGTTTGCATTCCAGCTTTGTTTTGTAAATTGCGGAATATACGTGTGTAAAGTGCGGGGTGAGTGTATGACTGTGGCTGGTACCTGCACGCTGGTGTCTGTCAGGATGTCCTCTGTGTAGAGAAAACACCGTGCCAAGCCCCAAGGCATATCATGCAGAATTAATTTTGCGCTGCTTAGTGCTCAATGCACTTGAAAATACGATTTGTGCGAAGGCATTGATATGCTAATCCATACAAGTAGCTCCCCTGCATATGAACAAATCCAATTAAACTGTTTTATTATAGCCGGAAAAAACTCTCCTCGCTCCACTGCCCTCAGTGCCCGCCCACCATTGGGTGTCAGTCATGCTTAGACACGCAGACCGCCTGTGTGTCCATACTGTCAGAGTGCTTCTGGAGAGAGATGTGTGTTTGTGTGTGTGTGATGATCTAGAGATATGTTTTTGCATCTCATTTCTGACCCTACACAACACAGTTGGACTATGGTCAGTGCTGCTCTGAAAAGTTTGATAGATGAGTCATTCTCTTTATCCTTAGTCATGTCTTCAGGTTAGATGAACCTTTGTTTGTCATATGGTTAGCCCCTACAAGTCTTTCTTATATTTTGATCTCAACATTGCGTAAAACTTTTTTGATACTGGTACCGATACGTTGACTTCGATGCTAGTTTGAACTTTACAAAATCCATTTCAACTAAAAGAAAATTACATTACACATTTTTCAGGTCTTACGCATTTTTACACTCAAAGCGGTTTCATAACATAAAAAATGTAGTAAACAACCATGTACAAGTTGTCCGAGTTTTTATGTTTGCCAAATGTTACCTGCTAAAATCCCCATCATCATCTAGAAACGAGACAAAAAAAAATTGATCCACATTCAATCGTGCCATAAATTAGACAATGATGTTTGTCAATTTAAGAGATAATTTTGCAAGTCAAGAAAGTCACAGTTACTTTGCGCCGTGCGGTATAAATGTGACATAACAGCAACTCAGTCAAAAGTTAACCACTAAAATAACATCTAAAATAAATGAATTGCTTCTGAAATGTGGGGCACATTGCACCTTGCAGATTATCTGACAAAAATGATAGAAATTCACTTAATGTGAACACTTCCAAGTTCATAAAACAACATCTAAATTATGATAAAATTTCAGCTGAAATGGCATTTTGTGCTGTGCAGTATGAATGTAAACCCTGCACATTATCTGACAACAACTCACTTAAAGTTAACAAATAATATGACATCTCAGAAAAGATAAATTGCTGCTGTATTCATTTTCTAGATTAAGGTTCTGCCAAACCACACTGATTCTGTCTCTGATTGATCTCTCCAATTTCGCACCGTGCTGTTTCAAAACCCCAGGCTACTCAAGCAGGGCTCGACAGTGCGAGCGTTTCACTCGCATTTGCGACTAAAAATAGGTGTGTGGGAACTGTAAAGAATATTTAGGGGCACATGTGCACATAAAAAAAATCAGCCGAAGCAGCCTATATTTTTGTCAATACAAAATATGGTAATCTAACCGCAAATGTTGGAGGAACTCCAGCCGCCTTCCCTCTTCCCCATGTGACACGGATAAGAGCCACACCACCCGCAGAAGCGCAGCGAATAGCCTCGAAGCGCCGAGAAGTGAAGCCAGTTTCCTTTCGGCGCCCATGTTAACCGATTGTGTCATCCACACTGGCCGCGCCGCGCAGCTCCGCCGCCGGCCCTGCAGCGATCATTTCGGCGTCTGGTCTATTTTCTGCGCGAGCCGCAAGCGAATGTGTCAAGCTGGGTAGTTACCCATGATGGAAAAACAGCCCCAAATGTGACAGAGACAACAGCTGGGAGCAGAACCGCTTGTCGACCAGCGTGGAGAAATGCGGGTCTGATGTGAACGGAAGTGCTCTGGCTCGCGGGAGAATTTTGGTGCGCTGCGCTTCGCAGGAAGGGCAGGGCAGGCCCTGGCGTTATGGGCGGTTTTCCAAGCCACTGTTGGCACAATGAATATAATGGCCGGGCTCCACCGGGCACGTCAGCGGCACGACACGTCTGCAGCACGAGTCCCGTAGCAGCTCGCCCCCTGTTAATCAATTACAGCGGCTCCACCGGCAACGGGAGTGGCGCGACAACCCCCGTCTGTCGTGCGACAACTCTCTATTTTACGCGGCTCTTCTATTTTTGTCACGCTACGCTCCCCTACGCGACCCTCCAGCAGATAAAAACTACATGAAATAGTGTGCTAAACAAGCACAATGTGTTTTTAAATGAATAAACCATCATCAGAGGTGATATGTGATGATTTTTTTTCATGCATTTACCCATGTTTATCCGTGACATTGTGTAAATGTCCGTGGCGGACATTTGAAAGCGAGTAGATGACAAACAGTACAGTAAACTTGTAGATAACTCAAATATATGTAACAACTTAGGTGGAAAATGCTTTAACATTTCTTTCAGCCTACATGCAGCCTGTCGGCTCGGCGGTAAACAACCCCGCAGTTAGGGACCGTTCACCACGGTACCGCTGCTGGGCAGGGTGGAAGTCCTGCAGAGTTTCAGAGGACCTGGAGAATGTTTTAGGATAGTAATAACATTATATAGGATAATCATATTGCAAAGATAATATATATAAGCTAATAACATTAAAGACAAAATTAAATTGCAATACTTTTTCAAAACTTGATGATTTTACTTTTCTGTACATTTTGTATACAAATTCATTAAATAATTTTGCTTGTAAATGTCTATTTGCATCATGTTTATTACGGAAAACACATCATTTGATCAATTAACATTGTGCCCCTGAAGTTCTTTGTACTTACTTTTTCAACTTAGGAGCACATGTGCTCCTTGGGAAAAAAGTTAGCGTCAAGCCCTGTCAAGCATTACTGCAGGGAGCGGGACTGCTGTGTGACAACTGTCATGCAGCCGCCCGCCACTAGTGGGGGCTACAGAGCTAAGTGGCCCCTATATGAATAAAACACTAACTAGTTTAACCAACTAATATTTCTGGTGACAACTGGCGAGGGAAGGACTTTTAATTGTTTAGACGACTAATCACTTGCATCCCTACTATGCTCCATGTACAAATGTTAAATCTTCCCTGATATGTTTTATCCAGGGACTCCTGGTCTGTTTTTTAGCCTGGAAGCCAAAGAACCAGCAAGATCTCTTGCTTCAGTGAGAGAGAAAGCTGTAATGTCCCTTACATGACTTGTAGTTGTAGTTGTTCTGAATATGTATTTTCACAACAGTTTTACAACAAACTGACTTTCTTTACTTGCAAAATTATCTTTTAAATTGACAAACATCATTTGTCTAATTCATGGCGCGGTACAAGCGGGATCAAAAAATGAATTTGTCCCTCGCTATCAACTACTGTACATATTTTTTTTTTTTTTTTCAGCGAAAGGTCACATGGTGGTTCACTGGAATTGGAAGGACTTCACCTCTATATTGTCCTCAGTAATCTGGGTTGAGGGGGAATCTGGTGGTGGTGATTTTAAAGGAGGCTCTGTGGGTGGAGTTGAATGCTGAGAGGAAGATGGCTGCATTTGTTCTTCTTCATGCAGTTGAATATGGAGCAACTCTCTGCTCGGGCATTGCATTGTGCCCTATTGGGATCAAGCCTGATGAAAAGGAGCTATAAATACAGCTATACACACACAGGAGCCCCATCTCTGGGCGTAATGCAGTGTTTTTCCTGCATGTCTCTATGACGTGATGTTAGACAATCAATCACAAGCATTATTAGATCTTGGTAGGAGCATGCTGCATGCTTATTGGGTCACTAACGCTGATGAGGCGTACTCCTTAGGCATCAGTATTTGCTGCGCCTGACAATGCATTCTTCGATACTAGATAGAAGCAATTTGCTTGGTGCCATAAAAGTATCAAAGTTTGGTATCCAGGCCTAGTTTTTGAAGAGCACTGCTGTAGTCATGCGTGAAGACAATAAGATCAGGATGTCCAGCTCATTAAAAGTTTACTGTTATGTTCTGCCGCTGGAGGCCAATATGACCTTAAGAACAAACATCCAAGCAGAGATTTTTGCTCTGTGCAGGCAAATGTGGGCCTCCTGCTGCAATAGCTTTCTTGCCTGAGCCCATTTTAAAAGCCTCTCATGTTGTCATGACATTTAGCACCAAAAACCTTCAAGATGAACCATAAAGCCTTCACTGAATTGCTCTGTATTGCTGCCCTGATCGTGACCTCTTTGATGGGGTGACCCCTTGTGCAGTAACCATAGAAAGATGACAAATATAGTTGAAACTCAGCTGCTGCCTTCAGCATCCTGCTGTGTCAAGACTGTTTGTTAAGCTTGTTTGGTAGTGGCTTCTTGGAAGGAAATGTTCGTTACTCTGGCCTTTCATAATGATACCACTTATTTTCTCTGCTGTCCGCTCAGCCTCTGTAAAGATGAGTAATTAAATGAAAGGTCACAGATCTGCTTTGACCATGCTCATCTTATTTGGTTTTTATGATGCATCATTGTGTAATGTGCTATTTGTCAAAGGTTCTGTACTCTGTATTAACGGCTCCCAGTCAAGTGAATACAGCAGCATCGTGTGCAGATCCTTTGTCTCTTTCTTCCTTCAGTTCAGGATTTTGACTCGGCACAGAAGTGTTTGAATGTGCAAACTTTCTGTGATCAATATTGAAGCTTTGAGTTAGCAGTTCATTTGGTTTCATCAGTATTTCCCAGCGCTGCTGAGACTGAAAACCATTGAAGTGTAGATACAAAGATGTGTATTATTGCCATCATTGATGCAATTTATTCAGAGTTGCAAAGAGCATTATTCTGGCAATCCAGGATGCTTGGGCTGCAACTAATGATTGATTTCATTACAGACTAATCTGATCATTTTTTGATATATACGATTGATTGTGACCTGGCGCTGGATAAGCTGAGGAAGATGGATGGATGATAAATTGTTTTGTATATAAAATGTCAGAAAATAGTGAACAATGCCCATCACATGATAAATGACTGATTTATTATTTAAGATTTATTGATGATGAAACTTGTTGCAGATTAATTTTCTTGAATTGTAATATTTTTATCACTAAAGGATGTCCCTGTTTTTATGCAGATATAACTGTTCCAAACTCAAGAAGCGATCACACTGAAGCGTCAGATGTGTCTGTTTATGTCTGTTTAGGAAATGACCCATGAGGAGAGGTCACTGATTAAAGATCTTGACAAGTGTGACTTTGGAGAGATCCACGCCATGCACAAAGCAAAGGTGGAGGCCAGGAAAAACATGACCAAGGAGGAGAAACTGGTGAGACTCTTGATTACCATAACTTACAGTACTTCTCTTTTTGTTTGTGTCTAAAAAAGGTCAGCGTGGATCATTTAGATTCAGGATTATTATTTAACAAATGTCTTTGCTTTATTTCTGTTGTAGGTTTTGAAAGAGGCCAACCAGAAGATAGTGGACGAGTACGGCTACTGTCTGCTGGACCACCACAAAGAACGCATCGGCAACTTCAAGATTGAACCTCCAGGGCTGTTCCGGGGGAGAGGCGAGCATCCCAAACAGGGCATGCTGAAGAAAAGGATCCAACCAGAAGATGTCATCATCAACTGCAGCAAGTGAGAGTGGAGCAAAGGGATTGAACTGTATGCAGATTTGTGTGACAGTGTAATGATGCATAAGGAAAGGCTTGTCTGATGAAAAGCAGGATTTATTAAAACTCCGGCACCCTAGCTGCTAAAAAAATCCGGTTGTCACATCTTTTGGTGTGACCTTCTATCAGGGAGACCTCAATACACAAAGTCTTTAAGCGCTATGAATCATAAGGAAATTAGTCTTTTCAAAAACATCCATTATGATGTTTCGTAGTGTGCAGCAATGCATATCCATATTGACGGCTGCACACAAAAGGGATGTTTTCAACAACAGTGGGTACATTTACATACACACTAATATTCCACTATTATTCCCAATATGACTAATATCTTGAATTTGATGCAGGTCATGTGAACAGTATATTGCATTCAGGTATTCCAAAGTCGACCTTATTCCGAAAGCATTTCCAAAAAAGACTTGTGGGATATGCAGGTATTATTCATGTTTTAATAGCATTATTTGGACATGTATACAGCGCATCTGGAAAATGCTTCTCAAGTGGGGTTTTTACCGTAGTTTGCAACACACAGCCTTTTGCCTGTGTACAGTCGGCTCTGTGTATTGTCATGGATACTAGGGTTGGGTCGGTATGAGAAAAAAAAAAAACGGGCTGGTTTTTGTTAAAAAAAAAAAAACAACAACAACAAAAAAAAAAAACGCATCAAATCGGTAATACCGGATTTTTGCCACTTGGAGGCGCAATTGACTCATTTAAAATAAAAAACGACCTTAGGACAACAGAGAGACAGTAACAAGTTGTTTCTTTTATTCCTTACAAATAAATTTTGCAGCTTACTCAATCAGTGCAAACAAGGGTTGCCTCCTTCGTCTGGCTCAAAGCCAAAGTGTTGCCATAGTGGCGCATTCCTTGATTTCGTCGAGACTAAATTGTCCGCCATTATCGACTCCCCGTCACTATTAAACAAACTCCAGGCTACAGTAGAGGCGCATGCGCACTCGCCCCTCCTAGCTCAGTCCCCGCCCCACCCCCCTCTCTCTCCTGCTTGCTGTGCGCTTGGTGAAGAGGCAGACACAGGTGCTCACAGACTCGGGCTTACTATGAGCGGACTATGTATAAAAATGTCCGTGAAAAATCTCTGCGATGTGAAAAATACATGCCGAACAGTCTTTTGTGTGACACTGGTGCGCAGAGCGAAGTCCGCGCGGTCGTGCTTTGCGTGCACAGGGCTTGCGGACGTCCACTTTTACTGGGCGGACCTCCGTGTATGTTCTACCCAAGTATGCGGTCCGGTCGTCTCAAAAAATAAAACCCGGTCCAAGACGGAGTACCGGACCGAATTGGTATTACCGAGAACCGACCCAACCCTAATGGATACACTGTACACAAACCAACTTAACAACAGTTTACAAGGCCAGTGTAGAGATGCATGCCCAAAAGAAAAGCACACATTTCTGGTGAGAAGGAGAAACACACATACTTCTAAAAATAATGAAAGGCTTGGATTTCAACAGGGTTTTTGGATATACACAAATATCGCAATGCCAACCTTTTTAAGAAGGTGGTTGAAGGAATGAAAGAGGGAGGCTGTGTTCGTACGGTCCAGAAAGTCTGCCATGGGTGGAAAACTTTTTTTTTTAAAAATTCTATTTTAATGCAAAGAACTAAAATAACAAATAGGCTCCAGCCGTTCCAATGTTTGATATTTTGATGTAATAAACTGCATGTTAGGGTATGTATCAGAGTTTGCACGGCTGCATGTAAATGGAAGTATTAGTGAAATATTCATTTTCATTAGCCATGAAATCATATATTGTCTTTTTCAGAATTAAAGCAAAAACTGCACTATTTTGTGCATGTAAACGTACTCAGTGTTGTAACACTTTTCCAGTCAAAGTAGCTTTTATAGGCTTAGCTATAAAAGTAGCTAGAAGCCGACAGATGACATCATGTTCTCATTGGCATACCCATGACTTAAACCTCATTAATTTGTATGTAGGATAATTGAAGCATAACTACTTTGCTGAATAAGAAAAATCCTCAACAAAACATTTAAATAGCATGATAGCTATGGTGCTTATACTATGGTGTGCCTCTTTGCCACACTTACAATCTAAAAAGCAAGACTTAACTTCACTTAACTTAAGTTCTTGAAACTCACTACATCTTAAGTCCCACTGTTGCGATGAACAGCATCTCCTCTCTTGCCCTCCTTGTCCCACACCTACTTACTGAGCACCGCATGAGGAGAGAGGGATGAGAGGTTTCGCACTGTTGGCAGAGCTGTGGACTGCGATTATTCCAAGCAGCATGCATGGAAATGACTTACAACATAATATGTTTCTGGCTTTTTCCCTGATGCTCTGAATAAGTTGCAAAACTTGTCGCTCGCAGCTTTTCAGAAATAAAATTGCTAAGAGGATCTGAAAAATCACTAAATCTAGTGAGAATGTTGCCAAGTTGGCAGCACTGTTGGGTAATCTCAGAAATATGGTGAGTTCAAGCTGTACATCACTCAGCATTTGTAGTAATGCATCCCTTATTCACTCATAGTCGCCTGGCATGTTGAGGAAGATTTTGTACTTGAATTCATCTCACATAGCCGGAGATTACGACTGCAGTATCCATGCTGTAGCATGTGCTCCAATGTTGTGACTGCTTACGCTCACATATACACACACACACATTTTTTTTCTTGCTCCCTCTGTTTCATTGACAGAGAAGCCCGTATCCCCGTGCCGCCTACTGGTCACCGCTGGAAGGAGGTTCGACATGACAACACTGTGACATGGCTGGCCAGCTGGACTGAGAACATCCAGGGCAGCATTAAATACATCATGCTCAATGCCAACTCAAAACTCAAGGTAGCCTGTCAGTCTGCTGCAAACAGGCAAAAAATGCTCCTAAATATGTATAGTGCTTATACAACCTTCCCACAAGCATCTGAATGCACCACCAGTAAAGTCTCACCCATACATGTAGCGTGTGCTCAACTGCTAGCTACTCAACAAATCAAACCCTAAAAGGAACATTACTCGGCACACTGGATTTTATTTGTCAAGCAAGTTTTACAGGTCCTTAACTTGTTGTTTTTTTTCCCCCATACCAGGCTGACGTTAATGGAGGCCCTGACGTTAATGGAGGCCAGTCACTGCCTAAATACATTCATCAATCAAAACCTTACAGTCTGCCTTGGAAAATAGTCAACAGATGTTGTATTTAGGATACAGTATCCCAAGTGTATGGTGTTTTCAAACAAGCTATTAAGCTTTATTGTTCAAGTTTGCTTTTTTTCTTGTATTATTCCATAAGCAAAACACCACACACTGAAAACCCCATTTAACAAAATTGTGAGAAATGTAGGTGCCAGGTTTTGATGTGGAAGAAGAATGTGTGGAATAAAAAAAGATACCTCTGGGTCTGCTGAATAGATTTTTATCTTTTCTTTTCTTTTCTTTTCTTTCTTTCTTTCTTTCTTTCTCTCCCAGCTGGTCCAGCCACAGGGTCCAGATTCCTCCGTAGTCATTAGTTTAAGTTGCACACAGTTTAATATATTCAGCGTCATACTTGCATTTGGTCATGTCATTGAGCAAGTTCGCTATCTCTCTCAAGTACCTGACTGTTAGTCACTCAGTCTACAGCAGGAAATTGCACTTCAAAATAAAAGATCTGTGCTTAAAAATAAAGTGTTACTACAAACCTGAAAATTTCGCGAGTCACTTACAGTCCATTCAGAATGAACTTCCTGCCTAGGGACCACAGATGCAAATTGGCTATTCAGCTAACTCCAGTATAGAACCTGTTCTGTACATGGTCCCTGTCAACTAAACCAATAAACTAAACTAAACTAAACCTGCAACCCACTTTTGGACTGCGACCTGCTAATTGGGAACCACTGCTTTAAAGGTCAGCCTAGTTCCAGTTGACTCTTGGCTAAGTCCTGCCCCTGTACGCAGACTGTCAAGTCATAATGTAGCATCTGGCAGCTCAGACCAGGGTCTGACAACAACACAGCTGTGCTCCATTGACTCCAATGCAGTTGTTTCAGATACCCTTCATTTTTTGGCTGGTGTTGTGGATTTGGAGCTAAATGTTGTGCCTGGGGCATGTCGTGTATTAATGATACTCGTTAGCTGGAGAGGTTGGAAAAAGATATACGTTTCTTCCTTGATCCAAAACCAAACTCAAACCCTGAAATGTGCAGGGGTAGCTAGCTAGCTCCTGAAGATATAGCCTACTGAATGTATACACATACTGCTTTTGCTTTTTTAATGATTATCACAGTGAAAAAAAGACCGACCCTGCTCAACCAGCTGTGTGGCATCACAGTGTGTGCAGAATAATGATGTTTGACTTCCCCTGGAGATCCCTGTGGTGGAGGCCCAGGTGCTGGCAGCAGCATGTGGGCAAAGCCAAACACTGTTCATCTGCACACACTGCAATGCCACAACTGGTTTCCCTTTATATTTATCATCTCCTGTCTCGATCAGCAGTGATGTGGTGGTTCACTTTTACACTGTCATTGGTAGCTTATAGTTCGGTTTTAGCTTTTAACTATGTTTGTCTTTTTAACCTGTTTTTCCTGCTGAGTGAGTTTGACATCCTGACATGTCAAACTGTTTTTTTAAACCCCTCTGTCTGCTTCTCTCTGGAATGACTATTTCATTTTTCCAAAAATAGGATAATATTTCTTCAGGGAGTGCAGTTAGTTATAGTGTGGGCTCCATGCTTACTCCGACAGCTTGTTGGACCATCATAAAGGGGCGGGGCTTAGGGAAAGGTCACTTGGCAAATAATGTCTAAATGGTGCTATAACAGGCAGAGTACAGAGATACATTCTCTTGAAATATAAACAAGTAGTGCTAAGATTTTATCAGGCAAGATGTGCAGTCCAGTCATTTAAAAATGAAGCCACACCACCAAACATTACAAAAAATTACAAAGGAAAAATCACAAGAGGTGTAAACCTAACTCTCATTGTGAATGTTGTTCTACAAAAGTGGTATAGAAAGGCTAGTCCAAACCCTACTTACATTGATTACAAATCAAACCTGTGCTCTTGTCTTATTTGTTTAATAATTCAGAGGCTGTCATCTTGAAAGCAGCTTGTTCCCTTATAGGTCCTGACACCGCTGACTTCAGACCAGAACTATTATTCTGATGTTAGGTCTGTTCTGTATGACTACAAGCACTAAGCACGCATCCTTGTCATGGTCAATAAAGCCCAAACTGTTTGTGTAGGAGATTTGCATTTCAGTTCAAATATTTTTTGTTTCTAAAATATTTAAATTCCATCATGGTTTTGTTTGGAGAGTAAATGGCAACCTTGTGAGCTGTGTGTTGAAAAAGACGTGTGCAACATCTTGTCATTCTTTTACCTTCTCTCATTTCTCTTTTGCTCTCCTCCGTGTACTCACTCTTCGTCTTCCTCCTTTCCATCTTTCATGTGTAAAGGTTAAGTTATTCCACTGTTGGTCTCCATGACAATGTGCGTGTGTTCGCTGATGGGGAGTTTAATTGTGTCTTAGTCTCAAAACATAACCAGCAGCAAACAAAGAAAATTTTGTTGTTGAAGTTGTGCTTTTAGATGAGCTTTTTTGCATGATACAACAGCCTGTTTGTCATGATTACCATTTTGAATCATGTTTTTATCTGACACTTTTCAATGAAAATAACTCAGTGTTGTCATTTTGTTTCTTTTCTTGTCTGTTTCCCTATTATGATGCCCCCTCACTGTTTCCCTTCCTGCTCTCTGTTGCTTTCCCTTTGTCTACATCCCTCTTCCTCCTCCTCTTCTTACTTTCATCCTACAAAGGGAGAGAAGGACTGGGAGAAATACGAGGTTGCTCGGAAACTGAAGTCATGCGTGGACGACATCCGCAACCAGTACATGCAGGATCTGAAATCTAAACAGATGGGCACGCGACAAAGAGCTGTGGCCCTCTACTTCATAGACAAGGTCTGGTTCAAGACAAGTAAAGATGTAGCGATTAGGATACCAATTTTAACACATTTACTCACCACCAGTGCTCGAAATAAACTGCTGTCAGTTTCCCAGATTCTCCTAAGTGCTTAAGTCTGGTACCAAAGCCATGTGAACATAATGGAAATCAATGCGATGTGTCTTGATTGCCTTTTCTGTTTTCTCACATAGCTGGATGAAAGATCTTTTGCAAAGAGATAAATGGATTATATGTAGCCACTTTCTTCCAGCGACCCCAAGCTAATTATCTCGGCCTGCATTGAGTGAAATGATAGATTGAGTGTGTGATTGCTTTTGGCTCATACCAAAGACTATTTAGATTCTGATTCTGCTTTGTTTACAATGCAGGTCTTTATTCTACTCCTTGTCGTATGTGTGTGCACTGTATTTAATAGTAATCTGATTGGCAAGTTTGTTCTGGGAATGGGGCGTATGGTGGTGAAAGCATGTGTAGATTTGATGTGGATTTGTCTTTGTCTTGTGACCCCAAAAAAAAAAGCTGGCACTGAGAGCTGGTAATGAGAAGGAGGAGGGAGAGACTGCCGACACAGTTGGTTGCTGTTCACTACGCGTGGAGCATATCACACTCCACGAGCAGCTGGAAGGCAGCGAGTGTGTGGTGGAATTCGACTTCCTGGGTAAAGACTCCATTCGCTACTACAACAAGGTCCCTGTCATCAGAAAGGTAAAGGAACAAAAAAGCTCACAAAAGCACTTTTACCCACACATTGTTCCTGCTTTCATGTGTTTGCTTGAACCGGAAAATATTCTATAAACAACACCAGTTAACACAAGGCAACTCTGTCCGTTCTCAGTAGAAGCAGACCTCGGCAAAAAAATAACATAAAAATAACAAGTGCTGTTCATTACGAATTCATTTACAAAACCAATATATCTCATTATAATAATCTAGATTTTGCCCTTTGGGTTTTGGCAGAAGTCCCTGCAGAGAAGGTCACTCGCATGCATATCAACATGCAGAGAGCCCGAAGCAGAGAGGGAACTGAGAAATGTCCTCCGGGCACAGTTGTAGATTGGATTCCTGTGGCTGTGGTGGTTTAATTTGTCTGTCTGTTAGAACTGTTGATGTGCCCTTCTGCTCGAGTCTCTGCTCTTGGATTACATGCTCATGTGGGTGAATTCTTAACCCACTGACTGAGGTAGCCTGGAGTTGGCCTGTGCATCTGAGCATCATGACATGGTTCCATATCCTGGTTGAGGTTGTAAGTAGTGCCAAAGCAATACGGTGCCTAAACTTTTTTTTTTTTTTCTTCAAATGAAGCAGAAAACGACGGTCAAAGATTTGAAAGAACTGCTTTTTTATCAACAAAGGGAAATTTGAACTTGTAATTGAACAATGTCTCCTTAACTCAGCAGAGACCCGGCAGCCAGACATTTCTCTATTATCCATTTAGGAGCCGCTGAGATTGTCACTACAATAAAAATAGCCCTCTTAACAGTCCACCTTTAGGGAGCCTGGTCATTTTCCAACATGAGGCAAACTTTGCTTGCCAACTTCAAGGCTAACCCCCTTCACATTAATCATCAGGTGGTGAGCAAAAGGTCTTGAGGAGTCGTAGCATTTATTCACTGATTAACAGCCTCAACAGTTCACACATTGTACTGCTGCATTTAACTTCATACTCACTGCTCCGGTCACTGCGTCCTCACTGTGACCATGACCTGCACACATCACCCTTCTCTCAAATATAATAGAACAAGATGGCACACCACTTTGTGGTGCTCAAAGCGCCAAGAAAATACATTTGTACAATCGACAGCAATGTCTCTTTTCTGAAATCATGACCTGGTAACTCAAGATAATCCACAGACCTTGTTGTGAGCATTTTCGTGGAGAAACTATTTTCTTTCTACTGAATTACAATCGCCAACCGTATCACTATGCAGAAGGAAGCATGAATCTACTCATGAATGAGAGGCTCGTGCTCATGACAGCACAAAATGTAAACATACCGTTCCCCTCGGCTGAGCCGTAACGTTAGCTAGCTCAGTGGTGCATGGTGAGTTCACAGTAGTTGCACTTCCTTCTGGATAGTGATACGGTTGGCGGGTGTAGTTCAGCAGAAAGACAAAACAATCTAGATTGATAAATAGCACTACAGGTAAGAGGAAAAACATGTATTTTAAATTTTGGGGTGAACTGTCTGTTTCTGTTCTTATTTCAAATTGCCTGAGGACAAAAAAAAGTCCAAATCTAAGCAGCGGAGGCAGAGAGCAGCTGAATTTTAGTCTGTAGTACAGGTCAAGCTGGAAAACACTGGATCCTTCTTTTACTATAATACAACTTGGTAGCATCCTTCAGTAGACCCCAACTTGCTTACTAAATGTCCAGTTCTGTCAGTCCACACCTCTAGTTTGTAGTCATTGTGACATCACAACCACAGAAGATATCATACAACAGAGTTTTTCCCCCTCGTGATTTGTAGGGTTGTGGACTGAACTTTTAAGGATAATGACTGAATCACGTTGGTAATACTGAGTAGCAATTCATGTTAAATCAGTTGGTTCAGAAGGGAGGCAGAAGCATTGCGAAGTGCCCTGAAGCCAGGAAATGGGCCACGGACCTCTGTCGGCTACCCAGCGAGCAAAAACTATTGCTGCAGCACTGATAGTGTCGGTCTATCTGATCTGTTTTCTTTCCTGTTTCATTTAAGATATTGCTTTGTATCACTGCTGTTTGTGATTGTGTTTTTTAAAATTCGTACCTATTCCACGTATTTGTTGGTTGTGTCTAAACAGAGAGAAATGAGTACACACACACACATAAACACACACACACACACACACACACAGGCAAACAGATGGACCGACAGAGACACTCTATGTGGGATTAGAAAAGAGCAGAAGAGTAGAATTGCTTGCTGACTGCAGCTTGTTCATAAATTGCATTTCATTATCAGCCTACAGAAAGGGTAAAGTATGAAAAAAGGTACCGTGTACTGGAACTAATCTAAGGTACCAACATCAATACTAGAATCAGTGTCAATGTGAACAGTACAGTGGTGTGCAACTTTACGATCTGCAGCGCTTTTGACATTCAGGGGTGGTTTTCACAGTGTAAAGATTGTGATAATAGGAACACTATTGAAACTTCCTAAGTATATTCATAGTCTCTCAGCTTTTTCACAGTTGCAGTATGTATTAAGGTTGTTGTATTTGAGGTTCAGGGCTTTTCCCGATATTTATATTGTTAATTAATTATTTACAGATTTTTTTAAATCACTAAACACGTATATATAGCCGCATAGTGTTTCAAAACTTTGACATTGACAAAATCTTGTGAACAGTTTGAGTCAGTCTAGGTGGCATGCTTAGTTGACGTTAGTGTAAGAACTTCTCTTTGGCAAGGCTTCATGCTGTCAGGTGTATTCACAGTTTAAACTACTGCCAGTGGGACGGACTGCCATGGATATTTTTAAAAGAACAGAAAGTAATTAAGTATTGCAGTAGCTCTTGTCAGTTGTTAGTTTATCTGATACAGTAAATGATGATGCACACTATAATGAGCAGGTTGGCCCAGGCCACAATACAAGAAAACACAAATGCGTCTAGAAACTTTCTCTTTTTTTTTTTTTTTTTTTGGAGTCTTGTTTAGTTGTCTGCAATCTGTCAAACAGCTGTCACATTTGTGTGTGTGTGCATGTATGCATATGTAAATTTCCAACCCCTCCTCTGGTCTCAGCCCGTGCTATCTTCTGTTCCAGAGATGGAAAAAGAAATGTTAGCACCTGACAGCCAAAGTGTTTTGTTTCTTGGCAGAACGTATAATTATTCAAATGAGTGCATTCAAAAGCAACACATTAGCTAGAATTAATTAGTCCCTTGCATATTTTAGCATCATCAATTCCCAGGGAAATCAGTGAGATTGCTGCTAAATGTCACTTGGAATAAAATGGAACAAGGATGGAGGGACGGAATTTCTGTTTCTAACCTCTGGAGGGGTTGAAATCATTTAATCTAATACTTGGGCTTATGTGTTTGGCTATATGTAGTGTGTATGCAATTTGTTGCTCCTGCAAAAAATTCTGCATGCAGGGCAGCAGTGCATCGGGCACTACACGAAATGAAAACAAAAATGGCAACAAAGTAGAGCCAAGCTATACATTATATGGGCTGCCAATACTGTATGTCTCAAGTGTAATTAAATGGAAAGAAAAAGTGTTACCATTGTTTCTCAGGAGAAAAGGGGGGTAGCCATAAGGGTAATAAGCCAGGTGTTGCCCGATTATTGGCCTGGGTTATCAGCTATTAAGCACTTTTAGGTTTATTGGAAACGTCATGTTTTTTACAGGCCACCGGCGTATCCACCGTGACGTCACCTATCAGTTTGTTGACTGCCGTTTTGAAGCCTCGTGTTCAGCATTTCAGCCATTGCCATCTTGTTTTTCTGGAACTAGAAGAGACTAAATTTAAATTAGAGGGTGGATTTGACTCATAGACAGTAGTGACACCTCGCAGACAGCCTGTCAGTCAAGCGGCCCTGCTCTTGATTTTGCGTAACTTTAAGCATTAAAAAATAGAAATGTGTGAGTTTAAAGTTCAGCCCCCAAACAGTTGTTATGAGTGTTGAAATTAGCTATAGAGACCAAAAACTGTTTTTTGCACCATGCTGTAAACATGTTTATTTCAGCTGTAAAGTTGGGCAATGTAACATTGTTTTTTGAGTCAGCCTCAAGTGGCCATTAGAGGAACTGCAGTTTTTGGCAATTCCATGTTGGCTTCGTTTTTTCAGCCCTGGATGTTTGTGAGAAATGCGTTGCGCTGGACTGTAGTCACCACTTGTAGTCATACTCAGTGTCCTGCTCATGATCGCATACACATCTGGAATATTAAGGCCCAAACATACTCAGGCAGAACGTACGCGGAGCGGACTCCACGGAGGTCCGCCCGGACCAAAAGCGAACGTCCGCAAGCCCTGTGTGCGCAAAGCTCAGATTTTATGACCGCGCGGACTCCACTCCGCACACCAGTGACTGCTCGGCATGTATTTTTCACATCGACGTGCAAGAATTGTGGGTAATGTAGTGTGTTTCACTGACATTTTTACAGTAAACTACAACGCGGAAGTGCGCTCGACTATGGAAGCCTGAAGGACTGCGGACATTCCTCGCGGAGTCCGCTACGCTTATAGTATGCCCAAGTATGTTCGGGCCTTTAGCCTATCAACACTGCTGAAGGCCAGTCGTGCCAAACGCAGACTGGAGCTACTCCCGTGAGTGAGCCGAACAGTATCAAATCTATGACAGACGATATTAATGAAGTTGTGATAGACATCCTCTATGCTTCAGTTGCAAAAACACCCATTGTTTCCACTGGTACATCCTGCCATTAGTAGTGGTTAGTGGATATAAGTTAAGTTGTATGAGGAGGAGAACAAGATGATGAAATCCCCCAGGTGGGATTTAAAAGTATGCCTTCCTTCTTCTAAATTTTGACACTAAGACTTTTATTTTTCCTTAAAGGTATACCAGTTCCAAATAACAGCCATCTCCTTAATTACTGATAATCTGTATTGACCCTGAAATAACCCTATCTGTCAACCCCTAAAATAAGCCATTGCTTATGTGTCTTTTCCAATAATTGATGTCTACGCTCTCACTGATTTGCACCTCAGTGTATCTGTTGTTTAAAAATAAGTCCCTACTTATTACTCAATTTGTAAACTAGATAGAACGCTGAATTATTTTATCAAATGGCCCCGCGGTGTGAGGACATCTGTGAATGCATAAACGTATTGTGTTGGGTACCTTCAGCCTGCTGAGCATTTATTAATTTATTTTCTAAATGAGTATTTCCATTCTTAACACACACACGCACCCAAACACATCACTAAACCAATTAGGCGAGCTCACTTTGGAGTCTCTGCTTCTCTGAGACTTTTAGACAGACACTGATTTACATTTTCATCCCGAAAGCACTTGCACTTTAGGTTTTTATATTTTCAGTTTGTTTGCCAAGGGGAACAAAATTGCCACGCAAATCAGCCTGTGAATATGTCAGTGTGTTTTTTAAAGCAACGCATCTGTTGCTATTAATTGGCGCCTTGCATATTTTACAAGTTTATTTGGGGAGCAGTGAATCTGTGGAAGCCACAGAGTCGCTGGAAATGTCAGATGTAATTGTGCCAGTTTTACTCCTCTGGCTCTGCTGTAAGATGGACAGATGAAGTCAGACTCCAGATACACACACACACACACGTATTGTAATGTATTTGTATAAATGTGTAATTTGACTTGTAAGCAGCCTTTAAAAGATTATGTTCACTTTCTGCTTTTCCCAATGAATATATTAATACACTGAATGCAGTTTATAACGAATATGTTTGTGTTAGAAAAAATATTCGAATTGCAACAGTTTGGCGTGTGATGTTGGTTGACTTGTAACTAGGGCTGCCCCCGACTAAGAATTTTCTTTGTCGACCAATAGTTGTCATTTAGGGCCATTAGTCGAATAGTTTCCTGCATGTTTACAGTATTTATTTAATTATTAAACTATTTTATTATTTATCATATATTCATTATTTTGGGTGGGGCAACACAATGGTTTGAGGTCAAGGTGTGAGAAAAGATAGCATCAGTAACATTGTTAACACTGTGCTACATTACAGAGAAATACAAACCGTACTAATGAACCTTCATTAATATAGGCCTATATTTTATCTACGAGTGCACGTCACACACTGAGCGAACCGCCTGTTAATGACGCTGTCGGCAAAGCAGTAATGATTGTGCTAAGTGGCTAACAGGCATGTAGCTACTTACATGTTTCAGGTGATATGTCATGTTTGTAGTCAACGAATGAAGATGAGTTTACATATCACCTTGGGTTCGTCCTTGTTATTAACTAGCCTGTGTAACCGCAGGTATCATTCCTGTAAATTAAGGCCCGTACACATGCCGCCTCTTTAACCGCCTAGAAAACGCGAGGTTGGGCACTGGACGCTACTCTTGTGCCTTTTTTGTGCCAGCTTTCAAGAGCGCAGCAGCAGGTTGCATCTGAGGTTGCTAAGCAACCTTAACAAGCACCATATAGTCTATTTACCTGAAATCCTGAGTGCAGTGCTGATCTTCTTCCAGGCGCTGTTTATAAGTGTGTAGGCCTATCGTCCGTGGGACAGATGTAAAGCCCTGGGTAGCCCTGCACTAACATGATCAACTTTTCTCTATGTCGGCTGTGATTGGTTTATAACGCGACTCCTGTCTGACTGCTGAGCGTGGCCTCTTCCTGTATCTGTTCTTTCAAATTAAATTCCTACATGATCGAGTCATATAGATTCTGATTTATTTTGACATGGTGCAGCTCCTAATTTTTTTTGTTTTTTTTTTCTTTGTTTTTTTTCCCTACGACTAATGTTCTGGTCATTAACGTTAACCTTATTAACCTACTCATAACCGATTGTATGGTTTGCTGTTCCCAGTTCTTACAATACAAATACATGATCATTTTTTCTGTATATCCTTTCAGGTTTTTAAGAATCTTAAATTGTTCCTGGAGAACAAACAACCTGGAGATGACCTCTTTGACCGCCTTAATGTAAGTGTCCCATTTTTACATGTTTTGAGTTATTCTAACCACCCGTGATGTTTAGTTTTGAATCTGTTGTGAAACATTCCCACACTACATTTTAGCATTAACAGAAAGGAATTAATTAAAAACAAAAAGTATTGTAGAAACTGCTCACAAGTGCTTTAATAATTGATAACTTTGTGTAAAAGAGTACCTGTATTTGTGCGGGGTTGTGCAATAAGTGTAAGAAATTCCCCTGAGGTGTGTAATATTTGAAGAGAAGGCAGAAAAAGATTGTGAAAGCAAAATAGAATTATATATTTTTTATGTTTTCTGGGGACATAAGGCTGCAGTAAAGGAAAAGCAGGGACTAAATTGTAAGGTGTAAGAGATGAGATTGAATGAGGATGAGCCATTGGTGTGGAGAGATGAAAGGGGTAAAGTGAGGAGAAGGGGAAGAATATTGGAAGCAGGGAGACTGAAGGCAGAAAAGGAGTTTCAAAAGAGAGAGGGGATGGACTCTGGCAGATAAAAATGAAACTGCGCGAGTGGAAATTGAGAGCGAACATGCTGGGCGGATGAATTTCCACACATAAAAATGTGCCGTCCTCTCAACCTCTTCCTCTAGCCGCTGGCAGCAAGGCCACACAGAAGGCAGCAGTTGTACACATGGTTAGTCCACCACAGGGAGACGTGGACCTTCTCAGGGTGTACTCAGTCTTTATAAAACAAGATCAACAGCATTATTTCTCTATTTGAGACCATACTCAAGGCTAAGAGATTGCCCTTGATGAGGAAACCTATTCAGAATCACAATATACAGGTTTCTTGTAGTGTGAACGGGGCTACTGCTGCAGTAGCCCACAGCCTGGCAACCTTGGGTTAAGTGCTCTGATTGCTGGGAAACAACATGTCTTGTGATTCACTCGAGAGCCAGGGTTGAAGGTTGGAACATATGCAACAGATGAATGGTCACTCTGGAGGACAGAGGGTTAATGAAACAGAGAGAGAAAGAGATGCAGATAAGAAAGCCTGGGGAAGGTTTGAGAGCCAGTCACGTGCTGGTCTATAAAGATTGACAGGTCTGAAAAGACAGGACGGGAGCAAGAGGGTGAGATGAGGAGATGGAGCAATTGAAGGAAGGAGTGCGGTGCCTCTGCTCTCTGCCCTCTAGTGTGTCAAGAAATGTCAGGGTGTGTTGGAGGTGGAATGGTAATGGCTGCTGTGGGCAGGCCTGATTGGCACCTGCAAAGGCCAGGCCACTGAGAGAGTAGAGGGAGGGGGGTGTGGAGGTGTAGACGGAGCAACAGGAATGTGACAGCTGGTCCAGGTGAGGGGAGGTTCGAAGGGAGAAGGTGGAAGATGGCTGGAAAAGGGTAGGAGGTGGAAGAGAGGGAGGGAGGGAGAAAGCAAAGGATAGAGTTGACAACCAGGCAGCAGCTGTAAGGCTAAGAGGAGGAGGAAGAGGAAGATATGGAAATGGGAATAAAGGTGGAAGAGGACAAGTTGTGGAGTGTGCTGCTATCAGATGGCCTCATGTAAAGAAATGGTGGAAGACATTATAGTTAAAGATTTAAATGACTCAAAGCCCCATTCAGATAACAACCTCTGTGGTGTTAAGTGGTGAGCATGGTGTTGATTGCTCCAGTACTGCTCACGTATGTGAACAGTAACAGGAGGATTTTAATGTATACATGACAGACTCCTGAAACAAAAGGCTATTTAAAACAGCGTTGCTCAGGGCAGCTCATGCAGTTATCACATTAAGTCAGAATTAGACCTTGGAAAATGTATTTTTTTTTAATGTCATTGTATGTTTAAATGTGCAGTATGTAGGATTTGGGTGGGGGGGGGTGTCTTGGTAGAAATGGAACATTGATAATTATGTTTTCACAAGTATATAATCACCTGAAACTAAGAATCTTACCATACCTTAGTATGAGCCCTTAGTATCTACATAGAGCGGCTCCTCTGCCATGAAGCCCACAATATTGCATTGCCATGTTTCTACAGTAGCCCAGAATGGACACACCAACAGGGCTGACACGATATGCTTATCTTCCACTTCAGTACCATCACGATACTTGAGTGCCGATTTGATATTTATTGCAATTCTACAAGTATTGCATTTTGATATTAGGATTTACTGAGATTTATGTTCAATATTTTAACACTAGACAATGGGAAAAAGTTGCATTATACATTTCTAAAGACTGTATATCGTAGGGTGTATTGCCAAAAACAATTAACATCACGTCAGTCAGTCTGCCTGATTTTTATGCCTCTGCGCCAGCAATAGCTGTGCCTGGAGGCATTATGTTTAAGGGTGTCCATCCATCCACCCCGTCTTTGTGAACATGATATTTCAAGAACGGCTCCAGGGAATTTCTTCAAAGTTGGCACAAACATTCACTTGGATTGAACGATGAACTAATTAGATTTTGGTGGTCATAGGTCAAAAGTCAAGGTCACTGTGACCATTATCTGTCTCATTCTTGTGAACGCGATATCTCAAGAACACCTTGAGGGAATTTCTTCAAAGTTGGCACAAACATTCACTTGGACTGAACGATGAACTGATAAGATTTTGGTGGTCAAAGGTCAAGGTCAAGTTTATGTGACCTCATCTGTCTCATTTTTGTGAATGTGATATCTTAAGAACACTGTGAGGAAACTTCTTTAGTTTGGCACAAATGTTCACTTGGACTCAACAATGAACTAATTGGACTTTGGTGGTAAAAGGTCAAGGTCAGCGTGACCTTGCATCTATCTCATTCTCGATCACGATATCTCAAGAACACCTAAAGGGAATTTGTTTAAATTGAAAGATGCTATAATAAATAAACTTAATATACTTAAATTACTAAAATGTACTTTACTTGTACAATACAATGGGGAAAAATGTATACATTTTAAAGTAAACTTAAACTGCTACATTTGTATTTCCCATACATTGGGTTATTTGAGGCAGCTGCCACAATACCAACATTGACTGCCACATACTGAATTTCCAGTATTCTATTTAAAATGAGTAAAAATCTGACTTCATTGTAGAGCTGCGTGCAGTGCATTGATTTGTCCAGCTCGTCCTTTCCCTGCTCTGTTTCTCTTTCTCTCTGGTTATCAGACCACCAGTGAGACAAAAATACCTCTTTCACACCAATGACCTGGGTCGGACTGGGGTTATCTGACCCATTTTTAACCCTTTTTTGTCAATTCCAACAAAAACGGGTTAATCCCTGTGTCACAGCAATCCTTTTGAATTTGAGGTCCGGTATTTTTCTGATTAAGCATCTCACAAACAGGGCTTGTCGTTTTTATTGTTGTTGCTGTTAGAACACAGCGGTGGTGTGGAAATTAGACTATAATAAAGTGTGCCGCTGTTTCCATTGTTTCTAGGAAAAGCTGATCAAATGTATTCTTTGAATTTTTTTTTTTTTTTTTTTGATGTAGAAACACAAAGGATTACAGGGAGAGGAAATGATAGTGGGCAAAAATGTAAAATACTACAGAAGTTTTCAGTGAGGACAAGACAGATTGACAGTACATCACACAAGCTGTGGTAACTGTTTTAAAATAACTGAATGCAGACCATATTGTTCGACAGGTTCCTGTTAACATTTTGATTTGTCCCTAGTGAGAATGAATTCAGCTGCAGTACACACAGTCCATCTAAAATTTTAATCTGTTGTCTTGTACACGTGTGAATTTTCTCTCTGGACAACAAAGACTCGCCACAACACTGTCCAAAAATGCTGTTGCCCACATTGTAGTACTGCCGGATTATTCACCCAAAACCACTCTGGTTTTGTTGTGGTCATGAACTCTGGTGTACTGCTTTTTCTGTGCCTTCAGTTTGTTTGTGACCTGTTGTTGTGAACGGTGTATGGCTCTCTCATTCAGCAGCCTTGTTGTATTCGCATACACTGTCATCTCTCATCATCCCGGTCATCTTACGCTCAATTTCCCCCTCACCATGGATGGCCAGAAGCTCCTGCACCTCAATGTCTTGCCACATCTCAATTTTGTTCCAATTCCAGTTTGTTTATGGGCTGTGGCAACCTGTGACAATGGCATCACCACTGTGCGTTCCCATTTGCAACCAACGTCTCGCCATGGTTGTTAGCAACCCTAGTGGTGTGCTATTCAGATTTAAATTGACCCTGGTTCAACCTTTGTTTGAATCACCTCTTGAACTGGACTGCAAAGTTATGTCAGCCAACGCAAGTTAACTGTTTCAAACAAAAAAAATCGACGCTGATTTAAGTCTGATTTAGCCCTCAGTGTGAAAGGTGCATTAGCAGGTCAGAGCGCCCCACAGTCCCTCTGCCTCACTTCCTGCTGCCAAGAGGCTATTCCAAGGAGAGTGGACAGAAACTCTGGAGATGGACCTTTACTAGTGGCTGTAGCAGCACCCAGCGCCGGGGATCATAGTAGGCTGTGTCTAACCTATGTAACAGCAGCAACAGAAAGTTTGATGCTCTGACAGGGAGTTTGCTCGTGCCGAAGTCGAGTTGCTACTGCTATTGAAGATCTGTGTCCTCGGACTGCCCGCCACTTTCTCCTTTCTTGCTTTGGCTTTGTTTTCCTTAAAACAGATATGACTTCGCATTACACATAGATTACCACAATGGAAGTGGCAACTTTTGTACACCTCTGCATTTGAATCCTATCGATTCAGGCATTAAAAGAAGTGACTGAAAAAGTGTTAACAAAAAAATTAATATATATTTTTTTTTATGTTACCTGAAAGCCATAGTAGGGAGGGGCGAGGGGAAGGGGTATTCGGTTGGTTGTAATCATGGACTGTGCAAAGAATATGGACATAGCCACTGTGGCATCACCCACTGGTTTGTGTACTGCCATTTTGAAGCCTCGAGTTTGGCATTTCGGCCGTTGCAATCTTGGTCTTTTGGAGCCAGAAGTAACCATATTTTGATTAGAGGGTGGAGCTGTGGAGGGCGAGGAGTGGGTCTGACTCATTGACTGGCGGCGCCTTGCAGACAGCCTGTCACTCAAGCGTCCACACCCTTAAGTATGTATAAGTTTAACCCTAAATAAAATGGAAAGGGGTGAGTTATTCAATAAATCACCCTGTACAGTTGTTACACATGTTAAAAATGGCTATAGAGACCAAAACTGTGTTTGTGCCAGTCTGTAAACATGTTTATTCCTGCTCTTAAATTAGGCATTTTAACATGGGTGTCTCTGGGGATTAACTCTGTTTTTGAGCCGGCCTCAAGTGGCCATTAGAGGAACTGTAGTTTATGGCACCTCCTTATTGGCTTCATTTTTCAGCCACTTGATTGCAATCTGCAACCTTACTGCTAGATGCCACTAAACACTACACACTGCAGGTTTGAGCTGCATATCATTTAAGTGTACATCTGGGGTTCTGTCCTGTCTCTGGCCAACTTCACACAACAGAAATGCACTTCTGTTGGTTTTGCTGAAATAATATATATTTAAGAACACAGTGCACATCAGAATGTTGTGTTAATGCTGCCAGTGCTATGAAATTCCTGTAAGCATCCATCGAGCAAGAGTGCTGCTCAATATTAGATTCCAAAATGCTCAGCCGTGGTGATATAGCACACACACAGGCCCATACACACACATCATGTTGAGGTTTGAGTGTCTGATCTGAGCTGAAATGCAGGCGTTTGTCAGGTCTCTCTTGAAGCCTCCTCTCCAGAGTCTACATCATTAGAGCTAGAGTAAACACCCTGTCTGCAGTTTCAGGTTAACTGTTACCTCAGAGGGGTTTCTTCAACTACATCAAAACATACAAACATTTAAGTACTGCTGGCTGTGTAGTATAGTCCCTGCCAGCTGCTTTATCATGGTACATTTCAATTTCTCCCCACTCTGTTATATCCCTTCCACCTTTTTTAAAAACAATATTTATTTTTACAGGAACGGATGTATAGAATGCTAAAATTGGTTCCATTCCAGTCAAAATGCAAAGCATGTCATCATAGCTAGTTTAGAATGGCAACAGTCAATATGTCTCCCAGGCATTAGTCGCCATCACCACAAATTGTCTTGCAGTATGTTAATGAGAAAGTCCAGTACATAGTATCCTGCGTTATAGATAGGAAATTAGAACCGCAGCTATGGCAAGTCGTAATAATACCTTAGGAGATGACATGGATGACACACATGGACACACACACTTGTGCACACAGAATACATGATACCAGTGGAGTTGGGGGTGTGAGAGCTATCATACTTGCCCCTCAGACTCGCAGACACCTTCATTAGCATTGCAGGGGCAGAGTCAGATAGCTCATTAGCAAGGCAGGCACGACAGCAACTGTGTCTGTGTGTGTGTGTGTGTGTGTGTTGCTGATGCGTGTACCTGTGCACCCTCCCACACATGGATGTGCACGTATGTATACGTAAAAACCTTTCTTCAGCCTGTTTCTAATAGGCTCCTGCACTGAAACACACATCTACACAAGTGCGTGGCCCTAGACAGTCGGGTCCTGACCCTGCTCTGATTAAACCAACCACATTATTATTGTAATCCTCATCAGAATCATCAGAATTATTTCTTCTTTTGCCAGAGCTGTGAGCTCACCAGCGAGCTCATCTGGGTGTTTTTCCCCTACATCTGTGCGCTTTCATCTGTGTTTCGAAATGCATGCACTGTCTGCCTCTCAAGTCCACATGTTTGCACCTCATATCAGTATCTGTGCAGCGACCATACGTGTTTGTTTTTGCTTTCACACCACCAGTGTGCGCCCTATACTGTTAACTCCGTTTCATCTCTTTGCCGTTCTGTCGAAGCTGCAGCCATTTGACAGGAGCTAATGGCTATCTAACCACTGCATGTGACAGCTCAAACTTGTTATAATACCTGCTGAAATGTCAGAGGGGAAATAGTACTGTGATCTTTTTTAATCTCCCTGCTTTAATGGATGATGATAATGAAGGCAGAGATGGTGTTGTATGTGTTTTTATTTGTTATGGTACATTACAGACACTTTAAACACTGCAGTGATACAATGCCACAGTGCCACCTAGTGGTGGAGTTTGGATTAAGTTGGTCGAATGGTTTTGGGGTGACAGTGTATTTGTTGTATACTGCGCTGATGTGAATTTGTCATCTGTGTGTCTTTGTCCCTCTCCTTCGCATTTGTCATTGCAGACAGCAGTGCTGAACAAGCACCTGAGTTCTCTAATGACTGGTCTGACTGCGAAGGTCTTCAGGACGTATAACGCTTCCATCACTTTACAGCAGCAGCTCAAAGAGCTCACAAACAGTAAGTCACACACTCACTGAGCTATAAAGTAGTCTAACATTACATTAATAGCTTTCTAAAGCACCAGCTCATATTCCTAAGCAACCAGAAAGGTATCAGCGTCTCTAATACTATAGCCTTTTATCAGTCTGGCCCTTATCACCATCTTATTACCTGACTGCTTGTGTCATGGAGTCTCATGATAAAACTGCCACACTTTTGACATTTTTTATTTTTAGCTTGCTTGATTCGAGATACCCTGGCGTCACTCAGCTTTTCCAGCCATGGCATGAGTACATTATCACTGTACCCAGTGCCGTGCGTCTCACTCTTATCAGGGTCCCATTGGCTGCCTCTGCCACAGTTACTCATTCAGAGATAGAAGTGTCACAATCTCTTCTCATTTCTGGATTGCCACTGAGAACCAATCTGCAGGATGGCATGTGGTTGTAGTGTGTGTTGCGTGGACCCCAGGAAGAATAGATGAAGCTTATATGGATCTGAATAAATGAAATGAAATGGTAGCAACCTGTAATTTTGTGTGTGTGTGTGTGTGTGTGTGTGTGTGTGTGTGTGTGAGTGTGTGCGCGCGCGTGCGTATGTTCAAGTTCAAGATGCATGGGCAATAATAATATGAGGGACACCAGCATGGTATTATCTTTTGAACTTGTGTGTGTAATTCTGGTGAGATATGTATTCTCAGTGGGATTTTTTTCTGTAAAAATTCAAGTTACTGTTGTTTCTCCCTTCAAAGAGTCCGACAATGCAGCTGAGAAACTGCTCTCCTACAACCGTGCTAACAGAGCAGTTGCCATTCTGTGTAACCACCAGCGGGCGCCGCCAAAGACCTTCGATCAGTCCATGGCTAACCTTCAGGCCAAGGTAGGAACAGCTTGACTTGGTTTATTGGGCACAGTCATTCATCACATTAACATTTACAGGGACTGATGATATTTTTTAATGTTCTTGTGTCAGTGTAATAGTTTGTTTAAAGAAGGACAAGGGCAGATTTTAAGACACAGTGAATCTCTGCAACCTTTCCAGCCCAGTCAGTGATATTTTGAAGCCAACAGTAATCCATATATAAAAGCACACCTATGTCCTTATGTGTCCCACCCAGATTGATGCTCAGAAGGAAAAGCTGGCCCTAGCAAAGACGGAGCTGAAACAGGCAAAGAAGGAGGCCAAGACCAAAGGCAGCTCAGACCCCAAGCTGCAGACGTAAGTGTCACAATAGTGCTGAAAAACAGTATGCTGTGAACACAAAACAATTAGAAATGATTGACAACAAGTACTAACAGAAAGGTATCCTGCAGTTTTAAGTGCCTCCAAACAGAGATACTGGCGTCACTGTGAATAATGAGCTGTAGGTTGAAGAAATGTAAGATATTGACCTTGAAATCATGTTAGTTGTGACGGTAGCCCCGCTGTGAACTCAGAGATGAGCTTCCCTGCTGTTCATCCTTTTTGTCTTTGTGCCTAGAGCCAAAAGGCAATTACAAACACTTTAAGTTGAAGAGTACTTTACAGTGCAGTAAGACATCCTTAATAGACCGCTGCTATTCTCTACGTGTTTCCTCAAATTCATGATCAGAATGCTTGTTCATTAGTCAGAGTACATTTTGTAATACTGAGCAGCACATAGGAAAGAAACACATGGTTCAACTGGAGGTTTTTCACTTGTGATAACAAAAAGGTTACTTATACCCAGGCAGTGGTATATTTTGCTGTTTACCCATGTCTGTCCCCACATGTAGATGAATTGGTTTCCTGCAGGTTGGACTACTTCCAGTTATTTATGCAAAACATTTGAATTAGGCTGGACACTGATGGAAACACGCTCCTTTTTGCCTGCCAAAAATGTGGAAAAGTTTCACATCAAAAGCCCAAATCAGAAGTCTTGTTTCTGCCATATTTCTAACTGAGGTGTCTGACTCCATTGCATGCACCCTTCATATATTTTCTGTCAGGCTGGTGGAGCGTAAGAAGGCAGCAGTGAAGCGCTGTGAGGAGCAGCTGCTGAAGTTGGAGGTCCAGGCGACTGACAGAGAAGAAAACAAACAGATTGCACTGGGTACCTCAAAGCTCAACTACCTGGACCCACGCATTAGTGTGGCTTGGTGAGTGTATACTCGCATAGACACTCTAAACAAGTGGTTCCCAACTGGTGGGTCATGGTCCAAAAGTGGATGGCAGGTCCATTCAGAATGGACTGTAAGTAACTCTCAAACGTGTCAAGTTTGTAAAAAAAAAAAAAACCCACACACTTTATTTTGAAGAACATGGAATTTCTGGCAGAAAGCTTTTATTTTGAAGTCCCATTTCCTGCTGTAGTGAGTGACTTATGGACAGCTACTTAACAGAGACAGCAAACTAGCTCAATGACATGGTCAAATGGAGATATGACACTGAATATAATAAACTGTGTGGACCTTGAACTAATGACTAAGGAGAAATCTGGACCCTGTGGCTGGACCAGATTGGAACCACTGCTCTTTACAACCTCAATGCTTTGTTAAAAGCACTTGAAAATATATATACTCCCTGCATCAAGTCCTGCACCTGCCTGCATGAGAGCACACATGGGTTTTCAAATAGAGCCACCTGAACTACTTGCACTCGGGGCCTGCATCACTAAGCAAGATTATTGGGTCAGTCGGCTAATTTTAGTCTTAACTTGGTCTTTCCAGTATCATGAAGCTGGTTCACTTGTAATCAGTGTAAATCACCATAGTAACCTGACTCACATGGCCAGGCAGGTTCAGCTCAGTGGATGTGATCAGAATGTGTCAACAAACCAGTCCTTTTGGAAAAAGTGAGTCATCTGTTCTACAAGAACCCAAAATAGACAGCAGTACAGCATTTATAGTTTAATTATAACCAAGTCACAGCAATGATTTTACAGATCACTGGACTCACTATGTCTGTGATATAAAATCATAAATATTATAAATGTTTGTAGTGTAAGCATTTGCGTACTCTGGCTTTAAAACAGATCCAGATCAAATCGGACGCTCACTGACACTTGTCAGTGATGCACAAGATTCACTTTGTAAATCATGTGAATCATTTCTATAGACTCACTGAAATGATGATTGTGGATTAAACATATCTGCAGCAGCACAAGCATAGCATTAGTCTCCAGTGAAATATAATGTATGGAAAGTGTAATGTGAAAATTAAACTATTTATGTGGATATACTATCTGTAGTCTCTCTCTGATGCCTCAAAGCAAAAATAGTGTAACTGATGTTCAATGTTGCATATCATTACACTATTGCAATCATTACAGTAGTTTAATCTTCAGACAAACTGTGAAAGCACCATCAGTCATTTCTCCCCTATCCCCAATCTGTACTAAACCCTCTCAAAAGGTCAATCATAATAGTAAGGCCAATAAAATAACTTTCACTCGTGTAGCCAATTACCTTTATTTGGTTAACTTAAGCCATTTCTATTGATTGTATGTTATCAGTTTGTTCATATTTTCCATCTGGATACCACTGTGTTTATTTTTTAAGATATACTATGCAGAATTTTACTATACAATAAAAAAAGTGTAGGCTCATTCAGAAGTAATCCCTCTCCATGTGGTGGTGTATTTTTCTGCAGAGACATTGCCCTCTGCTGGTGTTTTCAAATTTTATTTTCTGTGGTCGGGACATTTATGTTTGTGTACCCCCCACAGCATTCAGGCGAGGAAGGAGCTAAAAAGGTAACATCAGGTGCCAGACCCTAAGCAGCAGGCATCCAAGACACATGAAAACATGCAAATCTAGCAAGGCGTAAAGCCAAACGAGTGAATCTGGGGTTGGCTTTACACTTTTGCTGGCGAGCATGTTACACAGTAACAGACAATCCTGCATAGTTAACCTTTAAGAGAAAAGATTAACTGGTGGGTTAAACTGTGTTAATTTTGCAGAGTATGCTTAACAGTTGTTTCTCCCATTGGTTCAGGTGTAAAAACGTGGAGGTACCTGTAGAAAAAATCTACAATAAGAGCCAAAGGGACAAGTTCGCCTGGGCCATCGACATGACAGAGGCAGACTTTGAGTTCTAACTTTAAACTTATGAAACTCCAGTCTTGTTAGCCGATGCAATTAAGGAACCATTCACTTTGTAATACATACAGAACTTTAATATTTCATTCATAATATGTTCATGGACTACTGATGGTGTACTTCATAAAACTGTGTGACGTGTTTTGTTTACTGCTGTTCGTTTCTGCTTTTGGCACTTAATTTTGTTTTGTTTGTAAATTTTGTGTTTGCACTAATTTGAATAAAGGTTCCTATCATGCAGTGATGTGACACACTTTTGAGTGGACATTCTTGGAAATACCTGATTCTGAATACAATAAATGTGATTTAAAAAACATCTTATCAGCCATTATAGAATGTTAACTTCTAAGTCTGTCATTCCAATACATTATGAACAATATAGACCAGAAAACATGCAACACATTCTAGACATTCCAGATAATTTGCATGATAAAATACAACTCTGGTTTAAAAAAATAAATACAGAAAACACTGAGCACCTAGTAGTTATTTGCATTTTTAAAAATTCACTCAGCACCTGGCTAAATATTAAGTGTGTAATACATGACAGACAGCATTGTATTAAATAGCTTTAATAGAAGAAAATCAGTTGAAATTGGAATGCATCCCACACCTTGGTAGTAACAATGCTACTCGTAAATCACTACAGGCTTCTCACTGTGCCCGTTTCCCGTGTTGGTAGGGATGGAGGTTCTACTGGCCTGTAAGCCTGTGGGTTGTACTTCTCAGCACAGGCTGTGGCCAAACTGTCCCCATCAGCCATCACCGCATGGGATTTAATTAATTATGCAATATGATGGCAGCGAGATAACCTCCGGGTCGGCGCACAAAAATCCATAAGTTGCATTTTCGCACGAGCACTTACAGTTCTGAAGGGCATATCACACTATTCTAGCTTACAAATAACGTTCAACTTTTCAAGTCATTACATAACTCTAACCATTTATCACAATATTCAATATATAAAAAAGCATTTCACACAACGACACACCAAATCAATAGTCATTTTCAGAATGGAAAAGTCTGCTGCTCCTGAATAAAGGACCGACTTCACACCATGTTTCTTAGGAACCTGCGGACAGACAAAACAAATGATCTGTGTTGTAGTGTCAAAGAGGAGGGTGAATTCAACACGAAATACCTTAAGGATTAACTGAGATATGTAAAACTAATGGCAAGAGACATTCATCCAATCTTATATGTCTAGACCTAGGATTCATGAGTCCATCAGGAAGACAGACAAAACTACAGAGCTCTAGGCTTACAGGAAGGCATGAATAACTCTTCCAAAAGCTAGCTGGGTCTACGGCTTACCTTCATTATGAGCCTTGACCCTCTTTAGCCTTTTCCGGTGCCGCCTCAATCTCTTCAACACCAGCCTGTGTCATCAGGTCGGCAATGTTCTTCTCCAAGTCATCAATGCGTGTGCTCATCTCATCAAGTGGAGAAGCAGTTAAGGCACATACTTAGTAATAACTCTCAAAGTTGGTCTTTAATGGGCGAAATGTCCAGGTCAGTCTGTCATTTCATACTTTGATTATGAAAGTACAGTGAAGAGGATTTGAAAGAGATGAGAATGCTGGAAATAACAATTGAACCTGAATGCATTTAATCAATGAAAAATTGATTAATGGCATTATAAATCATTAGACAGGATATTCCTCCCGATGATCTGGTCTGACATGGTCTGAAATTTGTCTTGCATCTGTTGCAGCAGTGTCTGGACCTGTGAAACAAACACAAACACTGTAAGTGCAACAATAAATACACAAACAAATGAACAAATTGATTTAAATTGGTTCACTTAAGATGGCAGCCTAACATTAAAAACACATTACCAGTTTATTTTAAGGATGACACAATTGAAAGGATTTAAGCAGTGACATCAGTGGACTTTTCACTATTAACACCACCGCAGAAAAACATCTGCACTCCCACTCTAATGCACCACGCTTGTGGTCTATTAATAATTTCAAAAGGCAGTACATCAGTTAACAAAAGTATCTAGTTTCCTTGACAACAATGTAAAAGCTTAGTAACCACAGGATGTGATTCTTTTATGCACTCTGATGAGCATACTTCAGAACAATGAGCGCACCATGAAAATCATACTACTGTGTATTGGTGCATTTTGGTGCACTGATGACCATCACATAATGTGGCTCTATAACAGTTTTGTCTAAAGTTGTGTTTGTATTCTTCACATGCCAGAGACTTGAGGTTAATAGACATCCTGATCTCAAGAGGCAACATAATAAAATGAAAGCTGAGACATAAAAATAGAAAACTTCAATAACTAGGCATCCTTGAGGAAAATGTTTGGAGGGTGTTTTCAGTGAATACAAAACTCTGTGGAAATAATAAATAATAAGAATAAAGGAAAAGAAGAAAAAAGAAAAGCTACCAGAGAGGACTGGTAAAGATTTGGGAGGGTAACTGAAGTTGTCTACTAGTGCTCATCTCCATGACAACACTCAGAAACATAACCCAGCTCCCTTTGCCGTGTATTAGAATAAGTAGAATTATATATTATATTTCACAATGAACTGTGCGAGTTTACTGAGTGAAACTGCTAATTATTCAATATGATGGAAACTACTATTTCGAGAGGGCGTTTCAACAGAGGTAACGTTACCCAGATGTAATGCTAAGGGGATTACTCAGTTGTGATTTGGTGATGTCATGTGAAAGCCCAACTGACCATTTCAGTTACATAACGTGCTAAACAAAAGTCAGGACCTTTTAGCTTCACCAAACATCTGAAACACACCGAGTTCACGAACCTATTTTATTATAGAAACAAATAAATAACACGAAATGCCACAGATACGCTACACTCAGGTTAAGCTTTTCTTGCAAAGTAGCTAGCGATAGCATGCAACTGCTAGCATTCACTGCTGAAGCTAACGCTAGCTTGCCATCACGGTCACGACTTACCACATTGGTGAGGTCCTGCACCGACTTAGGGTCTGTCTCTGCCATGTTGTGGTGTAAATGATTATCAGTGCCTGAACAGTACTAACACTCCAACAGCTTTCTGCCGATTATTTTCACTATCGGGTTGGTAACTGTTCGAAATAGATAGCAGTCCGCTTGCACCACCCACCGCAGAGTCAGCTGTTCCACAACACGGGGAGTCTCGCGAGAGCTGCGTCACGGTGCTAAGAAATGTGGAATATTGAGTTTTGAATGAGGAGCTGTAAAGCACTTAGTAGTTTTGTTATCCCTTTATGGCCTCAAGAAGCCCATAAAAGGCATTCATGCAAAGCATCTGTTCCCTAGAGGCTGCCTCCCATTAAGCGCCCTGCATGTTTAATGCTAGTATTGTAAAACTTAAAGCAGTAGTAACTCTTTCTATTTCTATGTAGTGAACAATATATCTGTGCAAGCGTGAGTATGAGTGCCTGCAAGTATGCGCGTGCACCACTCTCACTTGAGCACGAGCTGGGATTGGAAAGTTGGAGCTGCAAGGGAAGTCAGTGTGTTTTGGTTTTGACGCTGAAACATCCGCGTGAGTGCTTTCTGATAAGGTGGACGAAAGTGAATGAAGGCGGCTGGTAAGTAAAGTTGGAAATTAAACCTATAACACATGTAAAACGTTAAATGTTACATTCTGCTACTCAGACAAACATGAATACACTATCAGAGGCGATACATATTCAGAGCGGGGGGGGCATTGTACGTGTTGTGAGCGCGCTGTTTTTAAAAACTAAATTAGAGCAAAGACGCAGAGGACGTTTGTTTCGGGTTTTAAAGTTTAGCTCAGAGATAAATTCGACACTTCACACGTCAAACATACTTTGTATACTAATATCAGTCTATTACAGTGTAACCAGACGGTGTTATAGCTGCTTTCTTTGTGTGCTGTTACTGTAGCTCCCCCGCAGTACTCCAAAATTGATGCCTGTACGTTCAGGCATGTTAGTGACCCAACCCCATGAAGCTATGCTTTGCTTGCATAACAGCCCATATTGCTTACTAGAGGTGGCCCAGCACATTGGGCTACTGTTGTGTGGGTGTGATGGTTTCCTCACACAGCTAGGCAGAAGGAAATAGCTGAGGACACCTTGGATTGTTGAATTCTTGAGTAATGTTTAACTGTAGGAAACCTGTAAAGACTCTCTTTATGGGTTGTGTTTGATTGCTGCTCTGCAGTGTTGCATTCACTGTGCATTGATAATAATCTGAGCTTTGTAGATGCTTTACAGAAATGACAAGTAGAGATACACTGAAGTGTAGATAACCTGAACATTCTTTTGCTCAGTCTGCCTGGCTCTGCCCTCCAAAATAAAATCCTATGTCTTTACTTACAGCTGAGTTATGTAAAATAACAGGTGTCTAATGAGTAATCAGACCCTCGGCTTTCTAGATAACTCTTGGGGCTCCAAGTACAGCTTCATCTCCTGTTGTGTTGCATTAGCCTACTGTCAGCAATCACACCCTGAGTGTGATTTAAAAAAAAAGAAGAAGTTGCTACCAGTGAACCTGCTGGGGGAGTTTTTTTTCTGTCAGCACCGAAGTACTTCTTAGTGTTTTGACTGGCTCTCTAAGCCATACTGAGTGACCTGTCAGCTGACACACACTGCCGAATATGTATGGGAGCAAAGGAGTTCATATTCATGCTGGCTCTCAGAATTAAATCTGACAATGAAAATCACACTGTGTTAAGTGGCACTGTTGTTATTACGCAGCCACAAGAAGAACCACACAGTCATACAAGAAGCACGTCACACTGATTTCCTGTGCGTCTCACTGTTTACTCAGAATTTGTGGGTCATGGTGTTGTGTACATAGCAACATACTGGCTCTTAAATCAAACGTGACCACATGACATTCCCATTTACAAGGAGCTGTTTATCGGCATTACAAAATCACATTGTCTGAAATGTAATGAACTCCTCTCTTTGTTCTGCAGGGTGCTCTGGAGAAAAAGGGGAATTACTAACCTTTAGTAAATTATGTTATTATCCACTCAAGAACACCTGCAAACGCTTGGCACAACACACCACAATTGTAAGGATTAAAGTATCTGAGCAAGGTGTGCTGCAGACAGGACAGCTTAGTAATAATACCTGTTCAACTGTGAAAAAACTCAGAGTGTATTTGCAGTCAAAGAGAAGTCAGTTAGCAGGAGGAGCTTGCACACAAGCTTGCTTTTTGACTTGTTATCTCCACAGTGTGGCAGCTAATACTAAAACCCTCCTATCATGGACGTCTCACCAGTGACCCCAATACCTGCCTGTCATCTTTACCTTCATCGGCTATTGGCTATTTAACCTTTCCTTGCACTCTGCTTGCTAGGGATAGACTGATATGGATTTTTTAGGGCCGATGCCGATACCCATTTTTTTCCATCACCCTTAGCCGATGACCGATTATGGACTGCCGATTTTCTTGAGCCGATATTTGGGGCCGATACTGCTTTTGCTCCCTCAATTTACATCAAAAAAATGACACAATGATAACAAATATTACAAGTCTCAAGTTTAAAATAAGAAACATTTATTGAACAGTAAAAAATACTAAAACAAGATGGAAAGTTGAGGTAGAACAGGTAGAATATTATTATTATTATTATTAGTATACATTCAAATAAAAAAAGAGTTCAGTGCTCTTAAATCTTCCAGTAATGTCTTTATAAAATAAACAAATATTTAAGCTGAAACATAAATAAAACAACAACTACTGTACACAGTAGGATTCGCTGCATGTGCACTGCAGGGTCTTCCGGCAACACAGAGCTGCCCGTGGATGCCTGTCTGTAAATCTTGCCGGGAAAAATAAATCCGCAAACCCACGCACGTATCGGCCGATGCCGATACAAGTAAAAAAACTCAAATATCGGCCCGATATGTCGGCCGGCCGATGTATCGGTCTATCCTTACTGCTTGCTATTTCTGTGTGGGACGTTTCCACATCTTTGACTTCAATTCCCCACCTGTCATCCCCGTCTGAATGTTAACTCATAAAGCACACATCTGAACCTTTCCGTAAATTTGTGAGCCTCAATTAGCGCTAATGTCTTTGGAAAGATAGAAAAAAGTTATTTGCACAGCCCAGGTGCAGGTGTGTCTGCACAGCTATAATATTCCTACAGTATAATCAGTCACTAATTGAAATTATATATGATTATTCCAGCCTTCTATTATAAAATAACTACTTTGATGCTTATTCTGTGTCTCTGAGTCCTGCACAATTTAATAATTGGTGTGTTCTACTTGTGTGACTAATTGATGATGGCTGATTGTTGGCAGGCAGAGAGGTAGAGATGTTAAGTAGTGTACATGTATAATATCATTGGTGGTCATTTGCAATACTTCTGTGGGGAAACTAAGTTTACAGTCAGTGTTTGTACAGAGGATAGTTGTCACAATATCGGCATGTCTAGCTTTGATACAGTACCTTGATAAATATCAGTAGCGGATACCATTTTTCAAAAATACTTCTGAGTTCACTGTTGAGGTTCTAGAGTCCACTTGAGAATTTAAATATTCTTATCAGTCTTTAACATACAAAACAGCAGCGACAGGATACAGGATTCAGCCCTTGACAATACTCTTCCTACTGTGCTTCAAAGACTGTTGAACTATCATGTGAGTGCAGAAGTTTCTCTGTAGCTGCTGTACTAATTTATCTAAGCCAACATTTCTTACTGTTTTGAAGATGACCATGCCAGTACTTTCCCAATTCTTTACATTTTGTTAAGATAACCAGCCCTTGGAAAATCAGTCAGAAAACAGAGTTTGACTTGCTGACTGGTCTTAGTCTGTCAAAACACATGTAATTCATTACATTTTAAATTATTGTTTTATTCATTTATTAAAATGTGGCAATTAAAGCTTAACAATTTCTTTACTTTTCTTCATTGCTTTTCAGAATTAATCTATGGAGCAAATTATGAGATAAATTCTTTAACACGCAGTGCATGCAGTAAATGTATGCACAGTCATGTACAGGCAGAGGTGGTCACACTTGACGACATAGGTTATGTGAACATAACCAGTGCAACACACATACTGCATCTATGTGCTATTGGGCACGACCGCCGAAAATGTTAGAGTCATATTTACTTTTATGTGTCGAGGTGGAGTCTGAAAATTTACCTGTGTTTTTCCCACTGTGACATGTCAAAGTGTCTTCAGTGAAAACAGCCTATTGGTCTGATGTTTCTTATAGGCTACATTTTATTTTTTTTTAAGATATATTAAAGTTTGTATAGGTCTTACCATTCAGCCATTCAGCCAGAGCCATCATTTTGTTTTAAAGAGATTTTCTTGTGATGTGAGAGAGCATTGTGTAGTCAGCGGGGACAGCAATTTAAAACAAACTGGCCCATACATAACTGAGGTATTTTAATTTAATCAGCGTAATAAGTTTTACTGCGGATGGGCTCTTGGGAATGCTAATTTCAGGCCTTGTTATTGACCTCTGGCTACCTCAGAACATCCATTGCTGATAACTACTGAACTCCCACTATGTTTTGTCACATTGCTTCCTTCCAGGTGCAACTTTAGACCCCTTGGACACCCCTGAGCTTCTCTCGGCGTGATGGATGCAGAGGTGGTTCTGAAAGAGGAGGACTTGGAGGGCTCGTGGACGCTGCTGTCCTGGATGGCGTCCTGCGTCATGGTGTTCGGGGGAGCCCTGCCCTATGTCCCACAGTACCAGGATATCCAGAGGAGCAGCAACAGCGAGGGCTTCTCCACAAGAGTCTGCCTGGTGCTGCTCATAGCCAACATCCTGCGCATTTTCTTCTGGTGAGAAAGAGAGAGAAAAGCCTGTGCTTTCATTTGATATGGGTTTTAATCTGTCTTTTTTCCCCTTTAAAAGGCACAGGCCATTTACAGGGTCATTCCTCAGATCTGTCTTGGTGTCAGAAATTAATAGAATAGGAATGGAATCAGAATGAAGATTCATTATATAATCTGAGCCATACGCCATTCACTTTGAGGCTTCCGCTCAAATTGTTTTACACATCAGAGAGCACAGGTCATGGTTCGGACTGAAGGGGACAGAAGAGTGAATTTAATAGATTCTTTATAGAATCTGGTTGGAACATTGTATTATTTATAAGGTCTTTCTGTGCCGCTTATAGCCTGTATGACATTTCTTATAATAAAACCTGTACAATTGAATAGTGTAGTATAGTGTGGTAACTGTGATGTACACATACCTTCTTTATTTGTTGTTATTATCCTTACTTTTATCACAAAGGCAATATTAATCTGTATTCTGTAAATTCTCTCCCATGTCAACCCTTCTCTAAGCTCTGGAAGGTAATTTGTGTTTTGGTTGCATCCTTGCAGGATAGGGAAGCAGTTTGAGCTCACCCTGCTGCTCCAGAGCGTGGTGATGATCCTCACCATGTTCGCCATGCTCCACCTCTGCTGCACGGTCCAAAACACCAACCGAGTGAGCACCAAGCAACACCGACTTTTAGGTAACCACTTCCAAAGCCTTCTTGATGACAACAAACACAACTAACACAATTAAAACTGACCCAGCAACACAATTACTGTCATGTATATACAGTAATTACAAACCATTTACAGCACATCCAGCAAGCCACTTCTCTGTGTCAGCAGTTTAGATGCCAAGTGCTTCAACTCCTACTTCTTGCCAAAAGAGGGGGCCATTGGAAAAGCTTACTGTCAAGGCTGTCGTTTTCAAGATGCCTTACCTCTGACAGCTACTTATATACCACTAATATGATAGTCACTTGTCTTATTCTTTATTGAACTGTTTCCGTAGGCTCCTAGTGTCTAGACAAAAAAACAGATGCTGCTGTATACTGGTTTAGTTAAAGCCTGAAGGGTAATGAAAATGTATCATTGATATTGAGATGTGAAAGAAAGTGCAAGGCAAAGCACAAATGTCCTATGGATGTATTAGCTGCTGTACTGTCACACATGAGATTAGTCTATTCTGGGCACGACTGTGTGTGTGTGTGTGTGTGTGTGTGTGTGTATGTGTGTAGTGTGTGTGTGGAAGGAGGAACTGGATGAGGTATCGGTGCAGGGTGAGGCGAGAAATGGAGATGGGATGGAGAGGGCTGAGATTAAGCATCAGCAGACACTGTTCATCGTGTGTGTGTGTGTGTGTGTGTGTGTGCGTGTGTGTGTGTGTGCGTGTGTGTGTGTGTGTAGAGGAATAGAGCCCGTCTGAGTGTATTTTCAGGGTCACTCTTTATAGGGTGTTGTCTTTTATAGGTAATTGTGTTTTTTTACAGACGCTCGAGTTGATTGCTTTTGCAAATGGCCTGACAGAAATTCAATCCAAGTACAATTTTTATAAGATAACAGCCCACGGAGGGAAATTGAATGATGGAATCTTGTAATACTCCGAACATGCTGAGCAGAGTGTGTTACTGAAGACATAAATTACAATCAGTGTTTGATTTTCCTGCTGATTGATTTGTAAGGAGTAAAATGCTTCTTTATACAGAGGAAGAGAATGTGTGTCCATTTGTGCCGTCAGTCGCGGTTCTATTAAAGTGACTTTGATTGAGAGATTGCTCACATTTGGACATGAGAGTCATGATCATTTTTATTGCTGGCATCTGTGCTTCTCTTGTCTCTGCAAAGAGCTGGTGTATTACTCATCATGAGATCTTTTTTTTATTAATGCCCACGCTTAAACTTTTTCAATATAATCACTCATGACGACTGGTGGTGGATTGCTTGTTTTCTCTGAGGGTGGATGATTTTCGTGGGCTTTACATCTATCTGATCCCAGTATTTGTACACATGTTGCAAATATATTGGACATTCATCTGCCTGCGAGCCATGTGTACTCTCTATGTTAAACAGGCTTGGATACGGAGAGTTGATTGATTAAAAGCGATGCAACTCAAGATCAAATATACACATGAGTTTGTCCGTTATGACCCCAGTTACAAAAACACAGCATGACCACCCTCTTACATCAAGCCCCCCTCTCTGAGGGGCGGGCCTGAGGTCCGGTTTCAAAGAGCACGGATATGAAGGGGGATGGTGGGGTCGGGACAAGAATAGATCAGAACAGCCTTTCGTCCCAAATGTCCGCTCCTCCCTCCATCCCTCCGTCGCTAAGTCTTTCATACAGATCAGGGTCATCTCTATGCAAAGCAGTTTCTTCTCCCCAAGATGCGTGTTGGCATGATTTCGAACTATTTTTGAAGATCTTTCATGCTGACCTCTCTTTCCTGTCATCTCTCCGCTACCCACCCAGCATCCTTCTCTGCTCTTTATCTTTCTCTTCCTCCTCCTCCCCTCTTTTTTCCCACCTTCCTCCACTGCTCTTCTTCTCTCTTCTTTCTGTCTTTCTGTTGCTGTTTCATCTGCTCCCGCCTCTTCTCCTCCTCCTCTTCTTCCTTCTCTTGACTTCTCCATTCAGAAAGGACATCTGAGACTGAAGTCCATGTGTCGTCTATGATCCTGCTGCCGGCCTGCCAACACCTGTTCCCTACTTACTGACCTCATTTTCCAGTTTCTGCAGACACACAGAAAGAACACAAACTGAAAGAAAAAGGTCAAATTGAGAATTCGGCTACTTGTCACTTGTCTGTGCAACTTCTGCTGCTGATTCCTGTACCTGGTATGCCAGCCTTACACCAAACAACTTTTCAAACAACTGTGGCAGACAAATTTCCAATGACGGTATAAAAGATTCACTTCAGTTGGTGTGCACTTCCGTGATTTCCATCATTTGCTGTAAGGTGGTCATAAAACTCAGTCCAGGCAGTCTTAAGTCAGTTGTTTGCCCGTCTTGACATCCGACAAAATCAAATGTTTAATGGTTTTTAGTTTTGGCTTATGCAGATAGTGAAGTTCAATGACTTGAACATTGTCAACATTCAATAGCTGCGCTCTCCTCAGCACCAAACAGAGAGCAGCAAACTGGGTAGACAATTAAGAGGGGACTCCTGGGGGTTGCAATAACGTGAACAAGTCTTGGTTCTCTTGGTTGTGGAAAAGGAGGAGAAACTGTGGAGTGATAAGGGGGCGTAATTTCATTCGGCATGTATCTGATCCACCAACCAGCACTTTTTTTAGTGAGAAATCTTCATTATTGAAAGGATTCGCCTCTCATTCCTCTGGTCTCCTCCCACAAAGTTCCACAGTTAACCAACAGAGGCTGGTAGCAAGTTGAGGCAACAAAATCCAAAATGTAAAGTTTATATTTATGGGTTATATTGATGCCAAATTGATGACGATAGTGTCAACGTCTGACACCTTATATCTTTTGTTTCTAGAGTTATGTGTTTTTGCGGACACATAGGAATTGTCAATATGTCATATTTTCTGAAGAGAGTTTGGTATAATATATTCCACTAGGAGCAGGGTGGAACATAATCTCAAAAGAAATCTAGTTTTATCCTGACCCTGCAAGATTCCCAGTCTGCAAAATCTTACTAAAGATTCACATTGTCTTTAGATGTGAGAGTTTGTCAGACTTTAGCCTTTTCAAAGTCTTCTAGTGTCTGGTAGGCATTACATTCTGTTGTTGCTGATTTTGCAGATTTCCTTTTACCTTCTCTGGTTTCCTTTTTCCACACTCGTGAAGGCATCTCTGGCCATTTGTGTATTGCAGCAGTTGTTTTCTATTTTTCAGGAACATAAGTCTGCTGAATGCTGTTCTGTGTATCACCTAAGGCTGTTCATTGTAGTGCTGACTAAATCTGGCGCGCTGCCTTGATTCATGTGAGGTCCAACCAAGCTTTCTTTCTGCAACATACAGCTGGCTTTGCATTGTTGCAGTGATCCTAAATGCTTTGACATGAGCTGAATATGCTCGAAAGAATCATATTCAATTGGTTGGCCTGCTGGTCTGCTTTTTTACTTGTTCACTGTTGTTTCAATCCATGGTACGTTTACATAATGCTTTCCTCAGCAAAGTGTAGGTGTTTATGGTTGTTGCCAGGAAACAGTTTTGGAGCCCTTTCTGATATATGCAGGGAAATGGAAAACAATGTACAGGTGGAGCCTTGTTAGCATGATTGAGAGGAGTGTGGTGCACAAGGAAGCAAACAACGAGCACCCCTCTTCCAAAAACTTAGGAAAGAAATGTGTATGAAGTTGTTGTTATATTATTTTATTCTCATGCAGCAGTGAGGTATTTTTGACTCTCGAACGAACAGCACCACAGTCTGGCTGGAGCTGATCTCAGACCTTTTCAGGTTAGACACTCTCTTGTTCATACCTGACAAAGCTTTTTTGTTGTTGATGTTCACACTGAAGTGGTTTAACACTGTAAATTGCGCGACTACTCTACTAAGGAAACACTACCCATAGGGCAGGCATCACCCGACATGAACACACTGGAGTGTAGAATTTTTTTTAAGTTTCCAGCAAGGTCACCTTCTTTATCATAAATGAGTCTGTGTAGGTATGGACTGGGTGGATTAAATGTGTGTGTGTGTGTGTGTGTGTGTGTGTGTGTGTGTGTGTGTGTTAGATGGTATACTCTGCTGTAGCTCTTTGCCTTAATTTGGTGATGGTGCTGTATAGAATGAAAGATCAGCAAGAGCAGAGGCTGTGTCTGATCCCTGTCAGCACTGTTACAGAGCCCATTACAAGTTACATGTCATGCTTCACATACTCACCAGCAAGGTAAAACTCCATATTTGATACTGAAAAATCAGTTGCACATTAATTCAGTGGTGAAAATATGTTCAAATTTAATTCGCAGCGAGGCACGAGTTATCATCTCTAAAGAGTATTTACGATCCAAGAAACCAAATAAAAGTATAACGTAGATGACTCATTCATTAAAACCAGAGCCAGTGTGCTTCATCCGCAGAGTCTTTGTAATGGTCTCTACGCTGAGCTGACTCAGAGTTATGACTTTGCAGTGACTTCCAGTGGCTGCCCCAGGGTGCCACATTAACAGTCCCGGCCTTATGATACAGGGATTCAGAGGCTGATAGGGGGGCGAAGGGAGAGATAATGTTCAAAGACAAATGTGACCTCAGGCTAGGTGTCAGGCTTGGTGCAATGAAAGTGGGGAGTTACTTTGAACAAAGTGAAAGTAGAGAATGCAAGGACTGGGGAAACAGGGTAAAAGCAAATGAGGAAATCCTTCATTCATTTAGTATTCTGTGAATTATTTGAGTTTAAATATTAATAGGATATATGAGTTGGGTTGATTTAAGCAACCGGAACGTTAACTGTAAATCATACAGAGAGTTGGACAACATTCTCCTCTGCTGGTCGGAGTGGGTATAGTACAACCTGGCTATTTTAACACATTTGATCTCATCTCTAAAGGTATTTTTTTATTTTTTGTTTTATATTTTTATCAATATTTTATTATTTTTCACATTTAACCAGCCAACGCTCTCGCCCACGACACCGCTTTATGAGTCACTTAGCAAAGAGCCACAATTGCTATTTAACATCCCGTTTGTGGGAGCCAGCCAGAGCTCACCAGACCATAAACAGAAGGAGAGATGGGACTCTT